AAATATAATAATATAATCAAATAAAAATATATATCAAAATTTGAGTTCAATCGATGCAAAATTTTTCAGTTTTTAAAGCGTACACAAACCAACTTAATATTTTTAATCATGATGAGAAAGCTTGGATACATGGTAGGTACAACTAAATAGATCTGAATGAAATTTGCCATAGAGATAGATTATTGTCTAGCTTTTTAGCATTCATCCTGGAAATATTTTTTAATAACTTACTTACTAAGTAAACTTGGTACTTTATTAGAATCTTCCAATGGTACCAAGATTTCACTAGCGATTATTCGTTCAAGCCCAAGTTGTATTTTCTAAGAAAATTGTGTGTTTAGTAATGACGGATGCTTTATTTTTACTAATGTTGATGATGGGAGAGGCCTATGTCCAGCAGTGGACTGTGATTGGCTGATGATGATGATTTAATGGTATAAGAGTGAAAACAAACAGACAGATCATCTGTTGAGAAGTGACTACCGCCAACCATGGACACCTGTATCTCAGGTTTGGTGCCTTGCAGCCCTTTGAGTCCTTCAGGCGAAGAAGGAGTTTGGACTCGGACACTTTAACTTTGCTATCAGGCAGGTACATCCAATTCGAAAAATGTCGAGAACACAGATTTTGTAAAATTTGTAAAGATTTTGAAACACAACAGAGCAAACTTCTTTCACAAACAAAGCAAAGTTGTTGACGTGTGCATAATTTAAAAAAAACTAGAACCTACGCAAGCAAGCGAACCCATAATAACAACTTTACAAAACATAAGTTTCAGTTTTGGACTTTTTCCGCAAATAACTTAAAAGTTGTTTGTCGTAGTTTTTGTTTTGAATTCTTTATCCTCTAAACAATAGCAATCTTAATGATTGATATTACCAAAAGACAACAATTTACTGAATTATCGATCCGTTATTAATGATAAACTGAGTCATTAACTATTTACACATATTCTACCAATTCACTAAACTACAAACCTCTGTGTAAATTACTAATGCTATCAAACCTATAGCTATGGTGCTATTTCATTTATTTGTTAATGAATAATGACACCAACAAATATTTTGGTTACATTTATATAAATTAGTCTATAAAGCAAAAACGATTAATAAATTATCTGACGCTTACAGACCAAGTTCTCAATAGTCCAAGTTAAGAAAGACTTAGCATACGACTACTTTTATCTCTCGGATTCCAGGATCCATTTCCTAGTCACATGGCGTTTAGATCCGAAGACCCAACACGCTACTATTTGAAGGATATGTCACAGGTATCTATACAAAATAATAGGTTTCTTTCATGCTCATAAGCTATTTTTCCTCTCAGAAAAAGCCTATACAATTTTGCCTGGCCTGGGAAATGAACCCACTAAGGCAGCGTTTTTCACATTCCACGCGAACGAATGTTGCGATATCATGATATCTATATATCATTTTTTTAAGGTATAAGAGAGCAAACGAGCGGTCCCCGGGTCCCCTGATGGTAAGTAACTACCGCTGCCCATGAACATCTGCAAGTCAAGAGCTACAAGTTTGTTGTGCTCATTGAATCCTCCCCCAGAATTAGGTAGAGGAGGAGTTTGGGCTCCGGTGATCTCACTATTTCGGACATATGACACACAACGCCATCTGGTTTAAAACTAAACAGAGTTTGTACCATGAAAACTAGATTGACTTATCACTGATGTTTATTTCTATCCTACTCTAACAAATTTTGAAGCTTTCTTTAAAAAATTACCCTGACAGGCCCCCAATTTAACGCATTTCGACGGACACTTTTGATACACAGAGATGGTTCTTTTTCCCCCTCCCAATTGTGGACCTCTTTTAAAATCGTAATCGTAATCGAAAGGGTATACTCCCGAGGTAGTCCTATTAGCACCAAGTCACTATCTGATAATGGGATGCTAGAGAAATCGATAAAAACCTTCAAAGTTTACAGCCACAACGTTTTAGCTTGTTTCTCTAGCTATGTAAGTATTTGCGTATAGTAGTCGTTATGTCACGTTGCTGAGCTGATGATGGAAGAGTAATTGATGTTTAGGAGTTAGAAGATAACTTTTCCAAAATCCAATCATGTTTTGACAGTGTTTTATTCTTTCAAGATATTTGTTACGTGTTTGTTGAATTACAGAGATATGTGCACAAGAGAGTTATAAATGTTTGTTACGCAATTATTTTCATATTACCAAAACTAATAAATAAAATCTAAATCCGTTTACAAACTTAATTTGTAAACCGATTTAGTTTTAAGATTTACTTTTCCAAAATCCAATCATATTTTGACAGTGTTTTATTCTTTCAAGATATTTGTTACGTGTTTGTTGAATTACAGAGATATGTGCACAGAAGAGTTATAAAATAATGTTTGTTACGCAATTATTTTCATATTACCAAAACTAATAAATAAAATCTAAATCCGTTTACAAACTTAATTTGTAAACCGATTTAGTTTTAAGATTTACTTTTCTAAAATGCAATCAAATTTTGACTTTGTTTATTCTTTTAAGATATTAGTTAGGTGTTTGTGTTGGATTACAGAGATATGAGCACAATGCCACTTCTAGTGGTGGAAAATTAAGTAATGTGGAAAACTATACATTTTTGGGATCAGATGTAACATCTTGCTACGTTTTTTAAATAAGGTAACGGACTTTTTAAACTATATTTTACTATAATATAACATACTACAGTTTGATAATACACATTACAGTACGTAGTGTTTTAAATCGTACACATTACAGTACGTAGTGTTTTAAATTTCGTACTTATCTACTCATTGCAAACATATCTTACACTAAAAATTGTGAAATAAATCATTATTAAAAAAACTGAACAATACTGACAAAGAGCACTAAAAATTAAAAAATAATTACAATTACAAATAACTACAAAAAGTAAAAAAACCGTAATAACTGCTACTCTCAATATAACAGTTAACATTATAATAGCAATAGTCCCTGATTGATGTCGGCGCCAAGCTAAATAGGTGCTTGATAGGCTTGGCAGAATGTAGCGCGGCAGCTGCAAGAGTCTTCATGCTGTGCAAAACATGCTGAACTAGCCAAAGTAGGTTACGCACATCTCAAAATAAATGATCTTGCCATTTAGATCATATATAGATATCATAAATAGAGAAATATAATCCCTAATAATATGCACTACCCAGGGCCGGGGATTGTCGGGATCGGGAGAGGGCCGATCCTGAGCGAAGAAGACGTCGACGACGTAATGAGCAGCCGACGGGACCGCGGGCCGCCAGAGAGTGGTGGCAGATTAATTGCTGCGGTAGGGGAAAGGATGGCAGCCTGATCGCACTGAAAATGTGATCGGGCTGCAACATCTGGATAGGTTGAGAGGCAGGGAGAAGCCACTGGCTTTCCCTGAGATGGGACCTAGCTAGGTGCGGCGTCGATCTAGGGGACCTGAAATCACATGGCCCGGGTTCTCTCCAGAGCAGGGCGCCTAAGGCTGGCCGTCGGAGTGGTTTTTACTGGAATCACCACATACTCCTGGCTCCTATATCCCCAAGGAGCCGGAGATCCGAAGGGATTTTCCACTCATTAACAAAAAAAAAAAGGGGGGCGGGGATTGTCCCGTGTCTTGTAAAAGTAAAAGAAAGTAAGGAGTTGTACAGATCCGACAAATATATCACATGAAAAATTTCAAATAATCTTTTTATTTACGGCAGTAATTCACAATTTCAATAAATACATCAATATTGTGGATGACTTTTGGAATACTGCTTAACGAACACCTTAACTTTAAAGCGCATATAAACTCAATATCAACTCGAGTAAGAAAAACTGCTAACATTATGAAACTACTTCGGTGCTCGGCATTACCATTCGTTCTGAAACAGATTTATTTTGCCCTTACACAGTCACTTTTAACTTGCTGGGGTAGTGCACTGAAAATATTCATGTTGCAAGCAGAAATAGCCCAGCGATCTGTTTTGAGAGTCATGCTGGAAAGACCCTTTAGGTATCCAACTAATGAGCTCTATAAAGAATGTAAGGTCTAAACTGTGCGACAACTTTATTTCTTTCGTACAATACTGAAAGTTCATCGTACTGTTGTTAACACTGAGGAACACAGTAAATTGCTTGAACGTCGTGTCTACAAATTGCCATTTCCTACTGTCAAAACAAGTTTTGCTAGACGTTTTAGCTCATACAAAGATTTCTATATATATATTACAGAATTACAAAGCTCTGCGATATAATCCTATGTTCTGTGGGGGAAGCTGAACTTAACACTACACAATGGTTGCTTTCTTTGACATACGACTATACAGAAGGTCTGTTGGCACACGTGGCCTAAATATTGCGCATTATTATTTGAGAATAATTTATTACATAACACATAACATAAAAAGTACCCTATACCAATTTAGACACACACATTTAGTTATTTTTATCTTTATAATATTAATATCTACCAAATAACCTCATGCATGTATTTACCAACGCTGTTTTGCCAATATTATTGTTTTGAATTATTTATAATTTTTCATCTTTTTTACCTTTTTTTTTGTTGCCAACTCGTTTGGGACGGTAATTGTTTTCTTCCGAACGCATATTCGGAGGAAATAGATTGCTGTCTCAAATATGAGCAAGTAACACTGTATACTTTAAATTGAAAACGACGATGTAATGTGTACCGAACAATAATGTATAGCGAAATGTGTAATCGCAACTGGTACCCACAGGACAGGCTTGTCAAGTGTGAAGCCACCGGCAATATATCACATATTTTGTACTTTTCTTTTTGGTAATAAATGACATATTATTATATTATTGTTATTACCTTATTTATTTAACAGTCTGGGAATTTATTAAGACAACATGAATTTCTAAACGATTATATTTCTTTCTTAATTGACACTTAGTTATCTGTCAAATAGGGAAATTTATTCCTGTAGCGCTTCTTGTTTTCGGAAGGATTTTTTAGTTTATAACTTAAGTATTGTTTTAAAAATGTTATGTTGAGCTATTAGCTATGACTACTCAGTATAAGAAATTCATTAAACTTATAGCTAAATGGCCTATTGATTCTAGCAAAGGCGAACGGTAAGCGCATAGGTTATGTTACGTTATTGACCAATATAAATTCATGAAGCATAAAATATTATCGTTTTATTTCACAGAGACCTCGGCAAGTTTATCAGGGATAAGGTAAAAGTTGCATTTGAATCAACGAATAAAAAAGATTTAGATTCGGAGCTCTGCAACCAACAGTACAACTCATTGAACAAATTAGCTGATAATTATTACAAAAACAAGTACAAACGGAAGCACAGCAGCACAGCAACGGGACTAAGTGTAGAAGAGTGTAACCTCATTCTATCCAACGAGGTTCTCGACTATTTAAAGGAAGAAAACAAAGGTTTCTTTAGCAAAATATTTAGTAAGGATAAAAAATGATTCTCAAACATTTTAAACAAGTTCACTTGTCAATTTTACGCCGTGCGTTATCCACAGAACATGTCCAATACAAAGACCACACACCAGTAATGTTAAATGAAGCTATTAAATATTTAAATCCTAAGAAAGATGAATTGTACATTGATATGACGTTTGGAGCTGGTGGACACTCTAGAAAAATCTTAGAGTCAGCCGATTGTAGGCTCATTACGTTAGATAGAGATCCACATGCCTATGATAAAGCACAAAAACTTGCTGAAGAGTACCCAAATAGAGTAATACCTTTATTAGGCAAATTTAGTGAACTCCCTGCTCTTTTAAAAGCTAAAGAAATAAAACAATCTTCTATAGATGGCATTCTATTTGATTTTGGTTGTTCATCTATGCAATTAGACAAAGGAGAAAGGGGATTTTCTGTGAGCAAGAATGGTTACTTAGACATGCGAATGGACGCTGGCCGAGATCCAAATCAAATAACTGCAAGGGAAGTGCTGGCGACCGCTAATGAACAGGAGCTATATAAAATATTTAAAATATATGGTGAAGAGAAAAAAGCTGCAAAAATAGCACAAACCATCATACAAGCTAGATATATGATCAAAAATATTGAAACAACAGAAGAATTGGTGGACCTGGTCAATTCATGTTGCCCTGATGAAATACGACTAGACAAATTGCAAAGACCTCAATCAAACGCAACAAAAGTATTTCAAGCGTTACGCATCTTTGTAAACAATGAGCTAAATGAACTGAATTATGGGATGGTCCTTGCTAAATATTATTTAAAACTCAATGGAAAATTAGTAACCATTTGTTTTCATTCGTTAGAGGATACTATTGTGAAACGCCATATAGCTGGGAACATTGTTAATGAAGTGGCAAATCCCGTTCCTTTAAAGTATTTGAGCCCGACACTTGTCCAGAATCAAGAAACTATTAACACATTTCTGGATACTCCTTGGAGGGCTATAAATAAGCATGTTGATGTACCTACAGATGAAGAAGTCCAACGAAACCCACGAAGTCGTAGTGCTAGATTGCGGGCTGCAATCAAAGTTAAATGAAATTTTATTATTATAGTACACACTAGACAACCTTGTGAGTACTATTTCTAACTGTATATTTGTTGTACAACTAAAGAAACTTCATTATCCATCATCATCATCCACAGCCTTTACTAGTCCACTGCTGGACATAGGCCTCTCCTTAGAAAGGTTTTGGCCTACTATACCACGCTGGCCAGACGGGTTGGTACAGGGTTTCAAGTTTTCCTTCTTTTTGCAGTGCTGTTGTCCTGCCTAGTTTGCTCCCTTAGTCGGCTCTTACGACACCCACAGTATGAATAGAGTTGGTGACACTCTGTATTCTTAATCTGTCACCACACGGAATGAAACTTGGTTTAATCTAATTTAATATTTGAATTTTTAAATGACCCATGATATCATAGTAACATTTTTAAATGTGGCCAAATCTATACTAATATTATAAAGTTGAAGAGTTTGTTTGTTTGTTTGTTTGAACGCGCTAATCTCAGGCGCTACTGGTCCTATTTGAAAAATTCTTTCAGTGTTAGATAGCCCATTTATCGAGGAAGGCTATAGGCTATATATCATCACGCTAAGACCAATAGGAGCGGAGCACCAATGAAGAATGTTTAAAAAACGGAGTAATTTATTACTATTGAGAGACGCAGACGAAGTTGCGCGGGTCAGCTAGTATAGCATACTAAAGCTATAAAGTTATTCAGTCCTAACGGTATCTTAGCAGTAAGTCAACAGATTTGTGCCTAAAGCTATTCAATAGGTGTATACTATCAATTATTCAATGATAAAAAACTATTTGTTAAATATGAATATATATTTACTGTTCATTTGTCATTGTAATGTTGGTTGTAAACATCCCAAGGTAAAAATAGCCTTTGTAAGATGTAGGCACAAAACTCATTCAAATCATCATTATCATCAGCCTATCGCAGTCCTCTCCCATTGCACGCCACTTAGATCGATTTTGGGCTTCTCGCATCCAGCTCCTGCCAGCCATCTTGCGCAAATCGTCACTCCACCTGGCTTGTGTATACGTTTGCCGAGACACGGTCTCCACTCAAGAACTCGTTTTCCCCAACGGTTGTCTGTTCTGCGACTAATATGGCCAGCCCACTGCCACTTCAGCTTGCTGATCCGGTAGACTATGTCGGTGACCTTGGTTCTCTGCTGGATCACCTCATAATTATTCATCCAAATACTTCAGATAAAAAAAGTAAAAATTAAAATAATAAAGTACACCTTCCTTTAGCCGCATTCAGTATCATTCAGAATACAATTTGTAGATTTGTAAATAGGTTTTCTTAGTGTAGTAAATAAAAAATGCAGATTGAAATTTTTCTTTTATTTTATAAATATAAATCTAATATCCAGCCATAACATGAGCGTCAAAGGCTCGTGAGAGTCAAAATGGCGGGTGTACCATTACAAATCAAATCTCAGAGTACAGAAAAAACGGCGTAAAGGGTTTATGGACCCCCGGACGGAACAAAGTTTCTTTCGCTTTTTGGTAAACGTTTGCTATACAGTCATTATAATTTATATTATAAAATATCAAGTTAATAGAGTTAAATTTCAAAATTTATAATAAAATAGCAAGAGGTGTCTTCAAAAAGTCTTGTTACACATTTTTCGATCTCGCTCCACGCAGCGTTTGTGAAGGTACAAGCGCCATTCAGACTTCTGTACCTAATATATTAATTCGTTTTATACATCGGGATTAAATATTAATACCACAAATTGTACCTATTTCGTGCTCTGTATCAAAGCAATCACACACAAGTCTGTTGATTGGTTTCTGTGAAATAAACTACTAATGTTTCCGTGCCTACTTGCCTTTTTATGTGTGAACGCACCTTAAGTCCTCTTATAATAAATCTATAAAGTACTACCATGCCCTTACATATGTGTTACTTTTTGCGGATGTTATTGGTACAAAGTAACACGCTCTGAGCAAAACCGAACAATATGTAACAAGACTTTATTCCAACACTTCTTGCTGAACTTTGTTCTAACCGGGGCCCATAGACCCCTTTTTTCGTTTTAATAGGGGTACAATTTTTATGTAGGTACATTTTTTCTCTACTACTTATATGAGATTCGAATTTTTATGGCACACCCGCCATTTCAGCCCGTTATTCAATTAATATTAATATTAATTGAATAACGGGCCTACAAATATCAAATCAGGATTTCGGAAAACAGGTATATATCCATTTGACAGACATATTTTCACTGACGAGCATTTCATGCCAAGTGAAGTGACTAATCGGCCCTTTAAAAATCCTGCTAATGCTTCATGCTCAAGTGAGCCCCTTGAGCCTCAAGCAGCTTCCTCCTCTGATGCACCCGGTTCTAGTCAGTGCTTTGAAACTCAACAAGTGTCTTTAAGTTACTCCTCAGAAACTCATCAGATTACTGTTACCGATACAGGACTATATCCATCTTCTATTGTTCTGATACCAGCTTCTTCAGATCAACAAATGTTGTACAGGCGTTCTGAGTCCCTAAGCCCAAGTTTGCTTTCGAACACATGTTTTGAGATGAATACTCAACCTGCGGAAACACCATCTGAAACTGCTAAAGAAAACTGCTCATTACCAGCTTTTCTATCGTCGCAAGAGGAAACTCTACTTAGTCCTATAGGATGTCGGGCTTATCCAAGTGCACAACCGAGACTACAATCGAACCGCGGTAGAAAAAGAGGAAAAAGCTGCATTCCAACTGATACACCTATGAAAAACGAAATTGAACAAGAAGCCTTGAAAAGTGAAAACAAAAAATTGGGAAAAGGTAATAAAAAGAAAGTGTCACAAAAAAAAGAAATTCCTTACAAGAGAACCAAGAAAACTAAAACTACCAAAAGAGTTCTATTTATTGATGACTCAGAGAGTGATTTAGAAAATATCCCGATATCCTTATCCGACTATTTAACATCTGAGGACGAAGTTCCTTTCAATTATCTTGTAAAACCGGAAAAGGACGATTTTGTTGTCGTTAAATTTGTTGGTAAACAACTAATTAAGCATTATGTTGGTAAATTACTGACAAATATTGAAAATAATGAATTTGACGTCAGCTATTTACGTAGAAGTGGAAAAGTTAATAATCATTTTTATTTTCCTCTCGAACCAGCTATGGCGACAGTGTCGTTAGAAGATATTGAAATCGTGCTTCCTCTTACAAACGTTGCACCAAAAATGACCAAACGTCAGACAGATGTATATACGTTCCCAAACAAAATTATTAAGAAATTTAATATTTGTTAGAAATGTTTGTCATCTCTTATTGTTAATTTTTCTCTAATTTTTTATCTTGTAACATTGTGTCCCTTGCCCTGTAACAGACTACTTACCCCAGATATGGGGCTCAATGTTACAATAGACTGATCTGATTAAACTGCAATTTGAACTAAGTTGTTGCTGTTAATATTAATGTTTAAATAATTTTAAATAAAGAGACACTATCATAGTTTATATCCATGTCAGTTACAATTTGATTAAATAAATATTTTCGTTGCTACATTGTCGTTTGTGTTTATTGTAACACTGTGCCCCACCTTACCCTATTCGTTTTATAGTATTCGTATTCTTTTACAGAACTTACATATACCTACATAGTAGTAGTAGTAGTAGTAAATAAAAATCTGCACCCACGAATTCTTTTTTATTGAAATGTTTGTTTTGTAAATACATAAATTATTTAAACGGATTGTAAAGAAAACGAACTTCAGAGCATAATCTTCTACATCACAAAGTATTTGATAATCTATTGAATAAATTTTGCTGATGTCGTCCAAGACTCACTCTAATTTTTTTATAAATGAGAGATTTACGTGAGCCGAAATAACCGCAGAACCTTGCGAGGCATTGGACGATTCAACAATGCCTTAGTGACAAGCCCGTCAGATTTGAACACGCTCAACCAATTTGTTCGGATACTATTCTTCCTCTGGCGGTCGCCCAAGCCCAGATCGGCAGCAAGAAAATTTCGAGCCACTTGTAGCGGGTACGAGAAGCAGACAAATAAAGTACCATTGGTATTATAATCCGTCATCCAGCGTTCGGCACTGTACTTGCTTTTAATTAAATTTAACAATGGTAGTGGCATCTTTCTGCACCTGGACAAAAACACATAATAAGAATAAACCAAGGACTTTGTAGTACCTATCTACCTTTTTTTTCGCACCATACCCTCCGTCCGGAAACGCAGGGTGTGTGTGGGACTCCGGGAAAACCGGTTTACCCACTAAACCCCGCGGTGGCCTACCTCGGCAGTCAGGAGGAGCTCAGGAATGCATCGGCGGCTTCTGGAGTCCTCCCTGCCGTACCCCTTTTCTGAGGCACATCCCGGGGTGACTGTAGTTACCATGGGGCGGGAGGCTGCCGCGCCTTTCACTGCTGTATACAGTAGGAGGTGTAACAGTGCCCCACCATGGACAACACCCCTCCGCCGCAACGGAGTGTCATCTGTTTTGGGTCGTTTGCAGCGGCCACATAGCCCCAAGATGTAGGCGCAGCGACACTTAGGCGGCGATTAGGAAGCTAGCGACCTCTGCCGCGTCCCCTTCGTCGCCTCCTTCAACCGGGATCGGCCCTCTCCCGATCCTGCCCTGCGGCCTCCTTCTGGAGCATAAAGTCCTCGCAGAAAGAGACCGCGGCTGCCCATCCCTTGCCACTCGCCAGCATTGCCGTTGTAGTAACTACCTATGTATGTTGATAAGTTAAAGTACAACACTGATCCTAAAACTAGGCAGAATCTATAGGACTTACAGAGGTATATTTTCTTACGTACTACTAGATAAATACGTAAAGAAAGAGTCCGTCTGCAAATGTGCATGCATCATACACCTTGCGGGGATCACCATTAAACTACTATGCAACAACCAAACAGGCGTTAACCCTGACACAAGGACGTATGTGTGTCACATGTATTTAAAGTTGAAGGACTGACCAAAAGTAGGGAATTGTATTCTAAATGTTAGTAATATTTTGATGATTAGAATCTGTTCAATTATTAGACTTCTACTACTCGTTCCACACGAATACTCGCCTTGAAAAGAACAGATGCTTTGGTACCTACTTATTTCCATTTTTCAAATTAACAAACTTCGAGGTATTAGTATAAATGAAAACTTACCCTTTAAATAAATATTAAAAACGTATTAATTTTAAATTCCATTATCAATACCCCTATGTGCCTAATGCAGGCCCATTTACATGATATCTAAATTCACATACGTCCAGCACATTAACTCCAAAAGACTTACATTGACCGAATCATTTGCCGCCCAAGCCAAGACTTCAAATAGCAGGCGCATGCACCAGTCACAAGTATCACTCAGCAAGTGCATTGGTGGCTTCACTGAACTCCCACGTCGACAACCATTAAGACGTAATGGAGCAACGTGTTTATGGACTTAAGTAGGGGTTCAATAAATAATTAATGTATGATGTGATCTATATTAAGATGCTATGTTCGATCCCAGGTTGTTAGACTCAAATATAAGATATTGTTAATACTAACTCGAGCATAGAAATAAATCCCCGACGCATTGTGCAGAAATTGAATATGCGTGGAGAAAAGTAGCCAAGTAACTGTAATCTCACTGCCTTTTATGCTGGGTGTATTGTAATGATGTTAATTTAAAACATTTTGATGAATTTATTGTTAACACTGGATGACACCAAAGATGGTTTATGGTCAGGGTCTGTCAACTTTGTTCTTAGAACAAGATGTAGGTGGGCTTGAAAACAAGAAAGAGACAACAACATTAGAGTAAAAGAGATGAATTATAAAATGTTGCCACCAAAATTACAATTTCGTTTTCTCCAAAACAATGAGCTAAAAAAGAAAGTCACCCTTAAAAATACATTTTGTGATTATTCTGATACCCAAAAAAATTATTTTGCTAAGAAATATAACATATTTAATTGATCAATACACAAAAAAAAAAAAAAGATAAGGGGGAAAATACTAGTCTCTAATACTCTACTGTCTAGTTTTGGTGGGCGGAGCATAGATGGCGCCGGCCGGTAAGGAAAAATTTCCTCATAAAAATAGTATGGAGTCGTTATTCTTCCCCTTTAGGGGTATATATGTTCTGTGTTTATGGTTGTCATAGACTTGTGAACTCATATTTTTAAGGTATATGTCTACGAGCAAATTTGACCAACAGAGTATGTAGAAAACACTAAGTAAATATTGATTACATTATATATTAATCTGAATAGGAGGCATCAGGGGTTTCATATCATACAACGGTCCCCTAAAATAGTATATAAGTCATTTAATACATAATACACAAAATATTTACCCTCCCAATGATGTCTTAATGACTTTTTAAAGAGTACAGTAGGATACAAAATCAATCGGGCGACATTGGGGTTAATAGGTTGTACACGACGCGTAAATACAAGTGACACCCTTTTTTTTCTGTGCGGAAATTCCCTCGGATACCACCCACCGGTGGTTATGTCAGGTTATGTACCAGCTGCCGGGGAACCAGGTGTACAAGTGACACCCTGGTGTGTTAATAGCGCTCATAGACTACGGTTAGCATATACTTGTTTGCCACCTTAGCAGCAAAACTCTTGACAGATATAGTGTTACTATCTTAAATAATAAACTACTATTTATGTCTTATTTATATGTACATTTGTTAATCCTAATTTATAATGTAAATATCAATTACTATGTGCCAAAACCACTTTATTTGTGTTAATAAACTTAAAGTTAATAAAGATACTATAGGGGTGGGCGCGCGTTTGTGTATTCAGATCTATACCTACAACTTTTTTGGGGCTGGTAGTTACCGCCCAGTTGACATTTATAAGTCGACAGGAACACCCGTACGTTTGCACCCCGTACTCATATCATCTACCGTTTTTAATTTTATCATCATAATCACGCACGCCAACATGCATTACCTACATGGGTTCAACCCTATGAATATCCTTTATGGCTGATAACCATAACTATGCTACTAAGTGATTGTTCGGTCCCTTTAAAGTCTGAGCATATTTACAAGACAAATCTTTGAAAATGTACTTAATCTCAAACTAAACGAGATTTATTTCAATCTTTCTCATTAAATCACATTTTAATGACAATTATTACCTTTTTTATTTATTTTTGTGCACGGTAGTGACGCAAACAAAATCAAGGGTTACAAAACGAATATTCACCCTACGGCATCTACAAATCCTGTAACTAAATAAACCACTGCTGACAATCATCTTAGAACCGTAAATTGTTCATTTTCAACATATTATATGAATCATTATGGATCCTAATAATTCAACCACATAATAATAATAATTCCGGTAGTGCTGTATTTTTAGTAAGTCAAAACACCCTCTCTAGGGAGTGACCTATGTCCAGCAGTGGATTAATAAATACTGTTGATGAACGTATTTTTGTTTCTCCCGCTTTGTTAACGAGGGTAATGGATTCATATATCCTTCAATAAACTTTTGATTAATATTTAACTCACCTTGAAACTATATGACTTTCATGCTTAGTATTTTTATGGCTCTCTTATGCTTTCTATTGAGGGAGAGCCTTGCTTCAGCGCAATGGGCCTCCTCGACCGGAGTAATATCACGGCCTCACAGAAAACCGGTGATCAGCAAAGCAATAGTTTCGTTGCTTCTATTCGATGATGATGATGAGTAGGGCCCTCGAAGCCCAAAGGCACAATGGGGTCAACGCACTTATGTTTCTTCAGTTAATGTTAATGGGCGACGGTAGTCACTTACCATCAGCTGACCAGAGACTGCTCGTTTGCCCCCTGTACCTTGAAAAGAAAAGTTAGTCATGGTCTACAGAGGCAACTACAGAGAGCCAATCGGAGTCTGTAAGAGGTTATTGCCAACACAAAAAAATAAAACCACAACATAAATAGACTCATTTATTATCATCTTACCATCGATTACGGTAACTAATACTATTTTTATACTATGAATCTTCACAATCATCCCAAACATAGTTACTATAACATCTGTTTAGAATAACCACCTAAAAATTGGTCTAACCAATGTTAACATTATGTATTGCCCCTAAATAGCCACTTCGCACTGAACAATTTTGCTCATAGGGATACCTATCATATTTATGTACATGTAATAAATTATAAAATCAGCCCTCAGGCCTAAAAATATTTTTCATATTTTGTAAACAAATATATTTCCTAAACATTAAAAAATAAATAAAGTGAATTTATTTTATATGACTTGATGTTCTTTACTCTAGGCAAAGTGGCACTAACAATAGATAAAAACAGTAATAATGTTAGTAGGTGCTATAGACCTAAAATGCACAATAGGTAAAATAAAAGGAAAAGGGTGAAATTTTTCAGACTAGATTTAAACATAATTTTTTATATATAATTAAATTTTGGTAATTTAATTTCCATTTCATTCTGATTTTTAATTATGGCAAGTTTTAATCATTTATAGCAGTAAGTAATGTTAAGGGCTTAAGATAATCTAACTGCCTTTATTTTACAATTTTACTTCCTAAAATGTTAAACCACAAAGTAACATTTTTATTCAATTCTAGTTCATAGACGTACTTAGACTTTTTCAATTTTTTTCAAACCAATTTTATGACCATTTTTTAAGCATGCTGTTACACGCCTTTAAGTGATCATAAACAAAAAAAAACAATATTTTGCATAAATAAAAAGTATCTGATATAGCAATATAATGCCAATTATTATTATATGCGTGTGAACAAGCTTAAGTTAAAAATGGCATAATTTAAATTTATAAACAATAAAATAATTAAATATTTGAAATTTAGTCAAATGTGTATGAACCAAATTCTACACTCACCGAAACAGCAACAATTCAATCAAGATTTTATATATGTGTATATATATATAACCACACAATTGGAATGTGGCGATAAGGTACAAGTAGCTCCATGTGTGTAATCTTCATGGCAGTGATTTATTAAAAAGCTGTGTTGCTATTAAACAAAATAAAGAAAACTGACATAAGAGAAAAAAAGCATTCAAAGCTAGCAATTAAAATATTTAAACTCGGTCATATTCGTAATTGTCAAAAGTCAATACATTGTATATATTCCGTAAATTTTTGTGTGTTCTCAGATCTCCTGCATTAGCTTTCCAAGGACTTCCCTTAACAAAAATCAGGCCCTCCAACAAACATGTTTCACATGAAGAGTCAATATGTGAAAATCGATATGCTTCAAAATGTAGAACATTCAATGAAAGCCTACGATTATTTAGCTTACGAACGTTGTCGCAGTATCTCAAAGATTATCGATTCTGAGAACATTTTTTACTCACACAGGTACTAAGTTCATCGGCCGAAATCTGTTCAGTTGCTGTTATAGCGTCGTACGCTAAATTATCGTATCATTAAAAGGGAGCCTTTCACAAGATAAAAACTTCGATTACTACAATCAAGTCTATTTTTAGATATATTATTATAATAATGTATTTTTTTAATTCCAACTAACAAGAGTTATAGAATTTCACATTCAAAAATGGTCCCTCGTAGACCACACATTGTTCCTAGAGGAATGCATAAACTTCCAGTTTACTCTCACCCAATTAAAACGTCACCTTAACGTCAATCTGACAGCTGTCACGTTAACGGCTGTCAGATCGACGCGACCGCTTGTCGCACGACGTTACCTCGTAACACTCAAACGTAAAGGGATCATACACGTAGTACACCGGTAGAGACGACGAGTCTTCGCCGGATAGTCGCTTTCAGGGTGTGATATTGTTATTAAATATTAATAACGGTCGAGTAAAGTATCGGCGTGCGAAGTGCAGGCGTGCGCAGCGCTAGAGCAGCGCTCAGTCGGGGTCGTGTTACGTGCGGTTGACGGAGGAGAGCACGTTGTGCTTGGCGCGGTCGGTGGCGGCGGCGGCGGCCGAGCGCATCTCCTTGAGCGTGTGCGACACCGAGTGCTGCGCCACCGGCCGCGGGAACAACCGGTCCAGCACGTGGTTGAACCCGTAGAACTGACGGGGAAACGGAACTTATACTTCACACGCTTAACTTAACCATCGATGTAAATAGTGAAGAAATTGAAAAAAAATACTATTTTGGAATTAAACGACTTTAAATGGCAACTTCGACTTGATATTATGTAATTATTAAGAAACAGACAATTTAGCTGGTCGTTCACGTTGTAAAACTGTATTAATACTTGTCGCCTCATTAAAATATTTATTTTTAAAATGGATTTATGAAATTTATAAAAATGGAGACTAATAATAGTCAATAGACATTATTTTGACTAGCGTTACCATGGCGTCGGTCCGCCTTAAAATAGTAGGCAACCGTAGTGTGATAAGGAAGCGATTTAATATTTGTAGCGATCACTTGAGTTATTATAGCAATAGTTGTGAAGTTGTTTAACCATCCTTGCGGATTTCACAGCAGTAGCTTAAAAATGTTTCTGCATAATCTAAGAAATCGGTAAAAACATCATTAGTTATATTTTAATTTACCGACGTTTTTTTTAAAAAAAAAAAAGACGTGTGGCACTCGGGGACTGCCGCGGTAAAGCTATTGCATAGCATTTTGTATCAACTTATGCAATTATAATTATTTATTTATTTTATTTATGCAGTATTTCTTTTTCTTTGATATTAATTCAAGTTACACTTTTTGAGTGTGGTGACCGATAAGAAAAAATTTTTTTTTCTTTTATTAAATAAAAATATTGAAGCATATATTACAATTTGTTTTTAAATAAATAAATAAAAATATTATTATTAAATCAAATTACATATCCATGTAAGATTTTTCTGCATTATGTTGACGAAATTTCCTTTGACGTTCAGCATTTGATTTTGGTACTGTTTTTTGTTTTGTTTTTAGCGTGAGGTTTTTTTTCGTTACGGAATTTCTGGATTCGGTTCCCGCGCTCAAGGCCCTCGATAGAAGCTATGCAATAGCTTAAAAATGAATTATTTATTTAAAACGGTATTAATAAAGATTCGTGATGCGCAACTCACCATCTGATTGCAGTTTTTCTTAAACCTATCAACCCCGAAGGCGCGGATGGCCCGCGAGAAGCCGAACACCTGCGAGTCGATCCAAGCGGAGCGCACCGCCACCGTCTGCGCCGGGCCCAGCGCGCGGTACTCCACACGCTCCACCACGCTCTGCACAACCACACACGTCACTACAACTACTCGTTATCACTGATATTTTAGTACATCATCACATCACATCAACAGCCTTTAATAATCCACTGCTGGACATAGGCCTCTCCTTAGAAAGAAGGTTTTGGCCTACTATATATTTTAGTACTAATAATAATAAATTATTTCAATACCAACAATAATCAGTCGAGTCAGTGATACTGGGTTATCATCATCAACAGTTTTTAATAGTCCACTGCTGGACATACCCCTCTCCTTAGAAAGGAGGTTTTGGCCAATTATACCACGCTGGCCAGACAGGTTGGTATACGGTTTGTTTCAAGTTTACCTTTTGTTTGCAGTGCTGTTGTCCTGCGTAGTTTGCTCCCTTAGTCGGCTATTACGACATCCACGGGATGAATGTTATTGGTGATACTCCGAATTTATAATCCGTCACCACTAATCCAAAACCTGTTTTGTGAGTTCAGTGTTCCTCAGGTACTCAGTAGTCAAGTTTGAGATATCATACAGTCCTAGTTTTTTTTATGCATTGCATGTTACATGCTACATACTCGTACATTGCCTGGCCATGCACGTGTGCGTGTGTGAGTTTATGTGTACATTAGCGCGCACGTGGGAACATACTTAATTATTATATTCAATTCTTTAATTTGCTCAAATGTGGTAATTAAAGGTGGTAAATATATTACAAAACATTAAACACATTTGCCATCTAACTCATGACATGCAAATCACTCATAATGTACGTTACAACAATAACAGTATAATACAAATACAATAAAATTACTAACTTATATACATAGACTGCTGCAGTGCAAGTGTAAATTAAGCTTTTCCAGTCATTTTGTTACTTTAATTTTTACTTCGCTGTGAATAAATGTCGGATAGTTTATGGACTCGATTGTTACTATACTTACATTTAGGAGTGTGAAACACGAATATGTTTGAATTTAAATAGTAAAATAATAATAAATATAAAATAAACATTAACATACCATAACTTTCGTATACCCCAAGTTTCTTGTGTATGTGATGAATATTTTTTTCTCAGGATCAACAATGCTTTCTTCTATGATTTTGACAGATTTCGCGTTGAAAAAACTGTAACAACATATAGTGATTCTGTAAGTTCTGTACCAGCACATTCGATCACAAGAGTACATTTATGAATGTCCCTAGACGAGAGATTTCGGAGAACAACTTAATTTTTGTGTTGTGTGTCAAAGCCTAAGGCCCATAAGCTATAGGCCCATTAAATTGTATTAGCAGCCAACAAGACTAAGAACACAATAACACTTAAAATAATAATAAAAACATGACTCGAATCATCATATTCTCGATTGACTTGACCAGTTGGGCTAATGATTCGTGATACTGTGTGTTGGGTACAATTTTCACTCAGGAAAAAATAATTCCGTAGTCTTTATTAATCATTTTATTCTTTTATATATAATTTATGTATAATACGTGTATATTTGTATAAGTACGTTTATCAGCTGTCTGGTTACAATAGCATAGGCTGTACCTAGTTTGGGATCAGATCAGAGGGTCATGTGTGAGATGTGTCAAATTATTATTATTATAAAATATTATTCCTAAAGTTGGAAAATGGAATAAATGAAGAATTTAGTTTTCTTTTACATTTGCTATACTCGTAAGCCCGTTGAAGTAGTTGTTACATTTTAAAAATCATTTTTGTACTAGTGTCTCTTACTATTCCTAATTATTTGCCGTACCGTTAACTTATTCAAGTTATTGTAACTGGTGGAAGACCCACTTGTGTTTACTTAACAACGGCGTGTTATAGCTGTTAACAGAACGATAAAATCCAATCAAAACCATTCATGTTAATTTTTGAATTATCAGGTGTAAAAGTCAGACGTAATCATCATCATCAATAGCCTTTAATAGTCTGCTGCTGGACATAGGCCTCTCCTTAGGAAGTAGCTTGTGGCCTACTATACCACGCTGGCCATCATCACATCACAACAACAGCCTTTAATAGTCCACTGCTGGATATAAGCCTCTCCTTAGAAAGGATGTTTTGGCCTACTATACCACGCTGGCCAGACGGGTTGGTATAGGGTTTGTGTCAAGTTTTCCTTCTCTCTGCAGTGCTGTTGTCCTGCGTAGTTTTTTCCCTTAGTCGGCTCTTACGACACCCACGGGATGAATTGGGTTGGTGACACTCCGTACTCTTAATCTAATTCTTCTAATCTTATTCTAATTAATGCTTATTCCAGTATGTAGATAATATGCTGTAGAAAAGGCAAGTTTCTTGTGAAGAAGTATCTTTGAAGTTTCAAGGACAGTTTCTTAGAATTATATGGTTCCATTGATAATAAGTGAAAATGATTGAATATGGCAATTTAGTGCCTCTTTCACACAATAGTACTACATTGCTCCTCACGCTATTATTGCCTAAAAGACTACTTTAAAATTCTATTTAATTCGAATCCGTTACGAAATCAACCTCCACATCGACGTTCATATCGCATTTATCAAACATTGAAGTTATTATAATGAAATGTGTTTAGAAACAATCTAATATGTAATTACTTAGGAAGTTTAACGATTGAATACAGATTAATTTAACTTAATTAGGTTTCTGCTAGGGTTTAGTTAAGGTCGGGAACGCCGTTATTGCGGCTGTAATACCCATCAAGGCAGATTGGCTTGAGACCATTTCATACCGGCTGCCGCAGATGGTCATCGGGAAAGGATGCTTCGGAGATCACTTGTGTCTGACCCGCAAGGAGCCAACGCCTGAGTGACACTACTGCGATTGCTGGACCGAGGACACGGCACTCCACACGCTAGCAGAATGCCGGCGTGGGTGGAGCAGAGGCGTAGGCTCGTGATGGCTATTCGAATGGGCATTCTTTGTCTCGGTACCATGACTGCGGCCATGGTGCAGAGTGAGAGCGCGTGGAACTCCACCGTCTCCTTCTGCAAGGAGGTTATCCTTGCTAAGGAGACGGCGGAGCTGGACCGGGAGAGGATTAGAACTCTCCTGAACGATCTCCGTCCTCCATAAGCGCAGACCTAAGGATGACAGGCGAAGCCATCTGTAACCCCAGCAGAAGCAGGCCAGGGTGGCGGCGTGACATGCTGCGGGCGCGCCCCCTTTGGTGGGCACAAAGGGAACACGGGGGTTCTATTATTATTCTTATAATTACTTTATGGATGGCCCCTTAAATAATGAATTCGAATAGTTTATTTACCATAATAATATACAACAGTTAACCGACCCGTCTGGCCAGCGTGGTGTAGTAGACCAAAACCTCCTTTCTAAGGAGAGGCCTATGTCCAGCAGTGGTCTATTAAAGGCTGATGATGATGATATACAACCATGACAGTTACTTATTTTGTTTATCTAATAATTATGTATATTCAAATACAAAACCGCAGTTTACCACGCTATCGACGTATTCATAGTGGTATTTGTGATGGTAAATACTTGGCGCCAGGCGGTCTACAAGCTTCTTCTCATTAGTTTTTCTAGAAAACTATAGTAATGAAAATGTTAAACCATTATCTGTGTTTAATTTACGTGTGGGCCGGTATATCTTATCTGAAGTAATAGATCAGTAGTCTTTTGTAGTCCACTGCTGGACGTAGGCCTCTCCTTACAAATGTTTTGGTCTACTATACCACGCTGGCGATACGGGTTGGTATAGTTTGTTTCAAGTTTTCCTTCTCATTGCAGTGCTGTTGTTCTACGTAGTTTGGTTCCTTGGTCGGCTCTTACGACACCCACGGAACGATTACTCCGTATACTTAATTCGTCATGGATTATATTATTATAACTGTATAATTCCGTGGAAATAAATATAAAACAAGTAACGTTGAGTACAAGATAAGCAGGTCGAACAACAATGTCTGGCTGATAAGAAGAAAGTTTATTATACTAATAACATTTAAGTGATAACGTGAATAAAATGTGCTGTGCAAAAAAAAAAATGCATTGATCAAAGTTAATCTTTGAGGTAGTACATTTTCTGTTTTGTTTATATTTACGGCATTGAGGATACTGAGGAAAATAAGATAAGAGATTTATCCCTCACATCAATGCCGTGGAGGTCATAAAGGTTACATAAAATGTAGGACAGTTCAGTAAAAGAGTACCGTGGGAGAGCCATGCTTCGGCACGAACGGGCCGGCTCGACCGGAGTGATACCACGGCCTCACAGAACACCGGTGTTAAGCAATTCTTTCGTTGCTTTTCACTGAGTGAGTGAGGTTACCGGAGCCCAAATCTCCCCTCTCGCTGACTCGAGTGGGAGGGACTCTAAGGGCAACAACGCACTTGCACTTTGCATATGTATCGTGCAAACAACCGTGTGAGCATGAAAAAAGCTTCAATTTTATTTATCTGTATAGATTGTACAGATTATTAAAGATTGAAAGCCTACTGTGGGAGAATCATGTATTGCGCCGGCCCACAGAAAACCGGTGTTAAACAAATTTTCTTTGCTTTTCACCGCGTGCGTTTACCGGAGTCCAACAGACACCCCTCCCACTATTTCCGGGGGAAGACACTTGGGCGGCAAAGCATTTGTGACTCCTGAGTTGCAGGTGTCCATGGGCACCGGTAGTTGCTTACCATCAGGTGACCCGTCTGCTCGTTTGCCCCCTTAATCCATAAAAAAGGGGTTATTCATAGAATCATGAGAGGGGTCTAAAGCAGAATTATAGGAATGACAACAGTTGTAGTTACAAGAATACTTGGAGTATGCTCTTGACTAATGCAAAAGAAACTCAGTACATCTGAGTCAGAAACTATTATTGATATTACCAGAACGAAGCGAGATACGGCTAATACATCGAGCCTTGCATTAAAAGTGATAAAAATTGCCGGGAAGACTCATGTTTGGGCAAATTGAGATTCTTTCTGCTTTTAATATTCTGATGTCAGAAATTTCACAGTTAAAATGAAATATAACATAGCAAAAGACATAAGAATCGTAAGTTAGAACGTTTTTTATTAATCATACCTGTAAGAATTTGGAAATAGACACAACAAAGTACTTTATGGAGTACTAGCTTTTGCCCGCAGCTAGACCAAAATTTCATCTTAATCTTAATCGGTTCGGCAGTTGAAGCGTGAAGATGCAACAGACATACAGATAGACAGACAGACAAACAGACACACTTTTACATTTATAATCATCAACATCATCAACAGCCTATAACAGTCCACTGCTGGACATAGGCCTCTCCTTAGAAAGGAGGTTTTGGCCTACTATACCATGCTGGCCAGACGGGTTGGTATAGGGTTTGCTTCAAGTTTTCCTTCTCTCTTCAGTGCTGTTGTCCTGCGTAGTTTGCTCCTTTAGTCGACTCTTACGACACCCACGGGATGAATAGGGGTGGTGACACTCTGTATTCTTAATCCGTCACCACACGGATTAAAATGATTTATAATATCAGTATGGATATTAGGGGAAACATTGATTTTTCGCAATTTAAGTCAGTTAATCTATTTATTCAAATAAAAAGGAAATATTTACAAAATAACTGTCAAAATTGAAGTATGCATATGTATTTTAAAGCATGTTTTTTGAATGCGCTTGAATTCTTTGGTTCCGTTTCTTTTTGTCGCGTTTACGGTCAAAATATAACAGGCACAAGGATCGGCCTATATACCTACTCTATTTTAACTCTTACTTTTTTTATCGATCTCTATATTATCGATTGTAGTCGATTAGAGCGCATATCTTCGATACACGTCACTGCATAGATAATGATAAAAGATAAGGTGAGCCTGCCTTGTAATGATTGATATTTGTTAACACTGTTGTGGGCAAACATTTATGTAACTACATAATTTTGGCATCTTGATCTTGACACAAGAATTCTAATGGACTTTTTTAAAGGTATAGCGGGACAAGCGAGCAGACGGGTCATCTGATGGGTAAGTGATTACCGCCACCCATGGACACCTGCAACTCAAGAGTCAGTGTGTCAGGACTAAGGAGGTAACCACAACTCTGGTAACCACATTCACTAAATGAAAGACAAAGATCCCTTAAAACCGGTTTTCTGTGGGACCTTGGTATTATTCCTGTCGAGCCTGGCCCATATGTGGCGAAGCATAGCTCTCCCATTTTAACTAAAACATTAATATTAACAATTCTACACAGCTACATATAAAACATTAAAACGCATCGACCAATAAAATAAGATTGCCTTGCAAGGCTTACGTCGATTATCACGTAGTAGGTGACAATGCCTACTTGCAATCATTTCATCGTTGCTGATTACTTTTTATACGGCATGTGTATAAAAGAAACGGTATTGTAAAATTTGAATCATAGTAAGAATCATGAATTGAACAAGGCGAAGACTTGGGTATAATAATACTATTTTTATGATATAGGGATCAAACATTCAGACGTGTCGCCTGATGGTACCACCGCCGCTCCACGATTGCAACAACAATTTATAGAATGTACATCACTTTTTTTCAAAAAGCTATCCTTGTTTTTATGAACATATATTACATTTTCATATATATGTATATATTATTGACACTGTCATTATGTTTATTTTTTTAAATTTCTGCTTCAATGAAAAAATATTGCCTTAATTATAAAGTACTCAAATGGCTCTAACACCGGTTTTCTGTAGGTAATACTGTGGTATCAGCATAGCTCTCCTACGAAAAGAGATATACAGAGCTTACCTAGACAAGTAGGTATTTGCTAGGTGTTTTACATTTATATTCGTGAAGAAAGAATTGGGTTCACAGTATAAAAGCACAATCATCTGTGATAAATCATATAATAACCAGTGACGATATTACAAAATCACTGCACCTTATGATTATGAATACCTTAGCACAAGTAGCAGTGACTAAGAGCAATCACTTTATCATATGATTATGATATAAAGTAGCAATAATTTACATCCCTAGTTTATAGCAGATTTTGCCACTGGTCAACAGCTGCTAGAGTAAACAATCTTATACTTCAAAAGATTGTTTATTATTGATGTAAAAATCTTATATTTAGAAAGATTGTTTATCGGACTCAGATCTCCTGTCCTGCCGACCACTTTAGTTTTTAGTGGTACGAGGGCTGCTTTTTATGTATCCAGAATAACAAAGAGTAACAAACATATAGCATTTATTATAGTTTTATTGCTTTTCAAAATATTCACCGTAATGATTGATGCACTTTTGCATACGTTTGAACCCATTTTCATATCTATCTATATCTCCAAAACGTGCATTTTGAACACATCATCAGCCTTTTCAGAGCTCGAAAAACGTTGACCACGGAATTTATTCTTCACGGTTGGGAATAAATAGAAGTCGTTGGGGGCCAAGTCATGGCTGTACGGCGGATGACCCGTTAATACGATCTTTTGATCTTCGAAATACTGAGTTGTTTCGGCCGATATGTGGCAGCTAGCATTGTCATGATGAAGAAGGATTCTGCGTTGTCGGTATTCTTTCTTATTTCTTCAAAGACCTTTAGCAAAGAAATGGTCGTGTACCATTCAGAATTAACCGTTTTCCGATCCTCTAGTGACACTGTAGCCATATTTTCATATATACCAAACGAACAAGCGACCATTTGCTTCAAAGTGAACGGATGGCGTAGTGGTTTAAGCGGTCGCCACGCCGCTTCCTACTACACTAAGAGTTATGTGTTTAAACCCCACATGGGACGACACTTTGTGTGATCCACAAATTGTTGTTCTGAGTCTGGGTGTTCTTTGTGTCCGTTTCATATATGTTTGTAAAGTCCTCCGCGACACAGGATATATTCCTAATGCGGGAGTTGTATTTTTTAAATTAAAAAAAAAGTGCTTTTTGAACGAATGACTTTTGTTGGTTTCGGCTCGTCTTGGAACACCTAAAAATTTGATTGTTGTTTAGTTTCAGGATCATACGCATATATCCAAGATTCATCAGCTGTGTAGATATTATAGACAGCTTTTGACGCACCCTGATTGTACATTTGTAATATTTTTTAATATTTTCGTGTAATATTTCATTGTTCGTGTAATCTTATATATAAAATTCTCGTGTCACAATGTTCGTTCCCGTACTCCTCCGAAACGCCTTGACCGATTCTCATGAAATTTTGTGTGCACATCGGGTAGGTCTGAGAATCGGCCAACATCTATTTTTCATACCCCTAAATGGTAAGGGTGACCCATCCCTAATTTTTTTTTTGTTTGGCAATACAACGTTTGCCGGGTCAGCTAGTATTTTATATACACTCGTCATACTCTATCTCGCGATATGTAACATGACGATCTTGCATTTTAGTTCCCACACAGCATCAATATATTGAGGTACAACAACCGATTTAGGGCGACCTTTTTTAAATTCGTCCGAGACCACAGACCGCCCTCGATCAAACTCACTAAACCAGTGATACACAGTTGTCACCAAAAGTCAAAGTGAGTTGATCGATGCACTGTTTTTGACTTAGCGCTCGCCAAAAAATTTAATAAATCATAGCACGAAAGTTTCACGAGTTAAATCCATAGTGATAAAGACACGCAATTTTCAAAATTATGCCACAAAGGATAAACAAATGACAACTACATGAAACAAATGAAACAAATTCAGCCAAAGAGTTCCATTTTTAAATGTTATAATTACTTTTTTAATATTTTTCTGTAACTGGCTTGTTCCGGATACATAAATAGCAGCCCTCGTAGCTTTCTCATTCTCTGAAGCTGATTTCATATAAAGTGTCTCGAAAACATATCAGCCGGCGTTTGTTGTTGTAGGTATGATTCACTGATGATTTCATTTCAACAATATGCTAATGGGGAATCCAGTGCAAAAACAAAAACATCTCCTGCCTCTACACATGTGCAGAAAACTGAATGCTTAGGAAAATTTTAGCCCCGTTACGGCATAACGCTGAGTACGCCGATGGAGGAAAAAAATATTGCGAAACTATAAAAACTTGAGCTGCGTTGCATCGAGTTTTCAGGCTTTAATATGCTAGTTTCCTACCTTAGTTCTTGCCTGACACCCTGGCTCTGAAGACTTTTAACTGTGTCTCTTTCTCACTCTTCTTTAACCATAATATTGTAATGTATTTTTTTTTTTCATTAATAATACTGGAAACATCTCAAACAGCCATCTGATCCTAAACAGTACAGTCTGTACTATGGTAATCAGACTGCTGATAAATCTACTAATAAATATGTTTTGAAATTCACACATATTATAGCTAAATTACAACCAGACATAATATGCTCGTCACACAATTATTTTTTGTGGGTGGGAATCGAACCCATGACATTTGGCTCAATCACAAAACCACGAGACCTCTTTCGTATGTTACTTATTAAACAATTGATGTTTTATGTAGTTACAAAACGTAGATCAAGAAGCAATTAAAATATTGACATTTTCATCATAGAAAAGGTAGAGCTCCCAAAAAACCCTTATTTGATTTTCCAGCAAAAGAAATGTAAGTTAAAAAAATTATCACATACAATAAAACTATACTAAATATGGTTTCATCATCATCAACAGCCTTTAATAGTTCACTGCTGTACATAGGCCTTTCCTTAGAAAAGTGGTTTACCCTAGGTTTAAATATGGTTCACCCTACAAATATCAAAATAAACAACATGTACGTACCGTTCGCCCCATTTGGGAACTCTGTTAGTCTTGGTAAGAATTCTCTTTGTGTATAGACAGCCATCCTTGACTTCCCTGCTCCATGTGTCTTCACTTAGCACATGAGTACTGAAATGTTAACATACAATTAAATAGCTTTTGCCCGCGGCCCCGCCCGCGAGTATGTCGGTTATCGCGGTAAATACTAGCCTATGTCCTTCCTCAAGAATCAAACTATCTCCATACCAAATTTCATCTAAATCGGATCGGCAGTTTATGTGTGAAGAGGTATCAGACAGACACACTTTCACATTTATAATATTAGTATTTGTGTATTAAACTAAACAAATCATTAATTGTCATCTCATTTCCAGCTTCTCTTAACATACAATAACGCATGAAGCTCACTAGAAGAGAAGAATTTCAAAGATGAGAGATTGTATCATTATCTATTGAATATTACCTAAATTTTGCTGTTTGTGAATCAATGTTTGCTCAGTCATATATTTATACTACAAGAGGGCAATATATTACATAACGGTAGCTAGTATTGAAGGATCAAAATCAGTCAGAAACTATGCAGTATGGTTGATATCTCTTCCTTATATTCCCGTACTCTTTCACTGTGTAAACTTAAGATATACTAAAATATAGTAGACAGGTCACACCAGAATTCCTAGATTTAATAATAATAATAATAATATTCTACCACATTCACACAACGCCATCTAGTCCCAAACTAAGCAGAGCTTGTACTTGTACTGTACTGATATAAATACATATATACTTTTTTTTTTTGTAAATACATACATATTATACATAGAAACACCCAGACCAAATCAAACATTAAATGTTCATACACACAGATGTTTGACTTGAGCGGGAATCGAACCCACGACCTTTGGAATAGCAGTCCGTTACACAAACCACTATGCCATCCGGTCGTCATTGTTACTTTCATTTGTTACTGTTTTACATTGTAACGTTGCATTTCGCACCATTACAGTAATTTGAACCTTAGTCTCGTTTTTGTTTTGTTAGGTTGAATTTTTTTGTCGTTTCTGCGTGTGCCGATGGTCGAGGGACAGACGAGAGTAATAATCGATGTTGTTCGCCCGCGATTAGTTAGTCGATTTAGTTTTTCTTGTCCTGGCAACATTTTTTTTTCCCGCTCTAAGGAGCGACCGGTTTTTGCACTGGCAACACGTTAGTTCACTTTTGGACCGACCGCCGAATGGAATGAAGCGAAGCTACTTTTTGTAATCTAATTTATTAGTATTCCTTATTTATTTGTTATGGACGAGGGCCTAGTTCCTCTTTAAATGTTTGGCCAACCTAGTTGGGACTCGAGCTATTGGTTCGAGTGATAATTTTTGTTGAAAAGGTAAGTTTTGTTCGGCCACGTGCTTCACGCTTGGCTTGGCGGAATTTGTGGTTTTAACTCTTTGTTTAATTGGTTACAGGCAATGCTTATAATGCCGCTGCTTGATTTGTGAAACATTTTAGGACCCTGGTAAGTGAAATATGATTTCTTGTCAGAGTTATGATTCATCTTATGAGATAGGCTTTTAACCTATAATTTTTCCTTATTTGCAGATGAATCAGGGTTTTTTTTTAGTTTATATCTAGAGTTTTAATTATACTCTAATTTTTACTTTCTTATTGGAATGTCATCGCGTGGCATTCGGTTTTTGTCTCTCGCCGGCCTAACCCCAAGAAATTGGTTTGCTGTGGAGCGCCAGAATGGTAGAAAAAGCTGCTTAGCTGTACGCCGTTGTCTGGAGCCTGGGAGTGCTAACCCGCCTCTTACACCACGTGGGAACCGGAGTGAGAAGTTTCGGAGTTGGTTTGATTTCATTTCATTCGGACTGATCCAAGGTCATTGGTATGTGTTTTAGTTTTGTTATATATTTTTCTTGGCGACGTGGCATTGAATACTGCAGGTCCCCAAGGGGTGTTATTTTTATTAGAGAGTAGGTCAATGCTATGTCTACCCTTAGAGTTTATTGTTTTGTCTATTAAGTCTTTATGCGACTTTGTTTAAAAACCTATACAGGTCCCCAAAGGGGTTAATTTTAATTAAGGGAGTAGGGCGTTGCTACAACTACCCTTAAACTCTTTTCTTTTTGGGTCTTCATGTGACTCTTTAAAGCTTATTTAACCTTATATTTTTCTTATTGGAAAGGATTGCATTAATGACAGTACTAATTTGTGTAGAAGAATTACCTATTGTAATTAGAGACATAAGACACATTGTACTCTACAGACACTACGGGATAATAAACTGCCATTAGAACTTAACATCTTGTATTCATTAGCTGCCTCCCGCCATGGGTTAAAAAGGTTCAACGGTGGCTGAGATGTCCGAGGTATTTGTTGTGTTTGTGGTGGGTTCTGTGTTCTTTTAAGGTGGTATCTGGCGCCCGAGACTTTTATTTTGTTATTTTGTTTCTATTTGATGCCACCAGTTCACCAATTTAGTTTTATTTTCTTTAAAACAAACCAACACACATATAATTTAAATTTTTTAATTTTTTATTATTACAACATGTCATTAAAACAAGTAATATTTTAATTACCAAACAGTTAAGAGAGGTCTTTAAGAGATTGCTTATAAGAATTCAAACCACTTTTTTCTGTCTACATTCTTAGGTAAAAGGCAAGGATCTGAGGACAACTTGAATATAACCTTAGGAGCCCTTTGGCTAAGAGTGGTGGAAGATAGAAAGCAGTGGAAGGTATTGGAGGGGGTCTATGTGCAAGGCACACTGTGCAAGGCTTGTAAAAGGCTTTGTTATAATATTATCCCTTAATCTTCTCACAACAATAGAAGTGGAATGTGCAAGACTGCTGAATTCATATTAACGTTTTGATATATTCCCAATTTAACATCTGCAGATTTGCTTTTAAATCCTATCAACAGAAATGGAGAATCCTAGCAAGGGAATGGGATTAATCCTGACAGTTTTGTGCCATTATATAGGTTGTGTCACGTTGGATTATGAACAACCGTGTTACTATTTAAGACAAGAAAGGTTTACTTTACTCTATATTTTAACCCTAACTCTATATTTTTTTAATACACTGTTCAATACAAAAACAAATGTTTTATATATTTGATAAGTAATACACCTTTGACATGTCTAGACTAAGCATAAATGTTATAGTCTCAAGGCTTTGACCTTGTGAAGGCTGATTATTTATTCCCAATATTTAGGCTAATTAATAAACATACAATAATATGTGAATACAAACTTCTTATTATGTAAACAACTGATATTGGTTTTATAAGTGTCATAAACATCATCACATCAACAGCCTTTAATAGTCCACTGCTCAACATAGGCCTCTCCTTAGAAAGGAGGTTTTGGCCTACTATACTACGCTGGCCAGACCGGTTGGTATAAGGTTTGTGTCAAGTTTTCCTTCTTTTTGCAGTGCTGGTGTCCTGCGTTGTTTTGCGCTCTTAGTTGGCTCTTACGACACCAACGGGATGAATTGGGGTAGTGATATTCCATATTCTTAATCCGTCACTACACGGACAGTGTCATAAACAAGTCTTGGTAATTTATGTTGGCAATGTAATAACAATATAAATAAAGAAAAAATAAGTTGTATTTTCTTTTTTGTATATCAAGCCCATTTCCACTTTAGTGTTGGCATGTTTTTGGGCAGGCTACATGATCAGAGGAAAGGATAAATGGAGTAAAATAATCACACAATGGTACCCAAGGGATGGAAAAAGAAAGAGGTAGGCCACAGAGAAGGTGGGAGGACGAAATTAGACAAGTAGAGGGAATAACATGGGGTAGAGTGGCCCTTTGCCACCTGGCAAACGGAACAAGAGAATACTATATGAATAACAAAGAAATATAGTCATGCCCAAATGAAGGCTTATATATATATATATATCTCAAGCAGTTTTTATTTATTAGCCGAGGATGAGTTTTATTCTTATCGATAAAAAATCTAGGATATATTTTCAAAGTATTAAGAATTATTAAAAATGCATTATACAGTATTAGGAGACATATGTATAATAATATATATATATACGCAGATAGAGCATTCCAGAATTAAATATAACTCAATATTTTCAAAGTAATAAAAGCAATTGTCCGCTAGTGCTGACATGCAGAAATTGTTTTATGATGTTGCAATCACTTAAGGAATTGAAACTTGGACAAAGAAGCAACACTATATTAACATTTTAAGCTTGGGCCACAATTCTACTCACTACACAACTTATATTACTGTAATTTTAGTTAAGTAATTTTATAAGTACAATTTAATATTTAATTAATTTTGTATAATTATTATTCAAATAAATTTAAATAAGCTCTGACTGACCCTCATGCTCAGTATACAGTAAACAGAAACAATTGAACTCTGTGCCAAATCAAAACAATTCCAATCACAATTACTCAAGGTTCAATTCACATTCTCCATGACCTTTGACCTCCAATAAAAAAAATAAGTCACTTACCTCAAAGGGTTAGGGTATCTCTTCCAGTAACCACGAGTAACTTGATCCCAACTGAAGTTAAACGTAGCCGTATTTTCAAAATATCTTGCCATTTTTAATTATAAATTATATTATGTAAAATGAATTTGTACTGGAATGATTGTAAACGTTGAATTAAAAAGTTCAACTAGACACCATACTCGTTTCTGTAAAAATTAAACGCCTTTAAAAAAAAACTTTGTTTCTTAAATGCGATAACTTAAAAGCGCGTGGATCGGGTTACATAAACACGGCTAATGTAGGTCACTGGTCAAAAATATTATTTGAACAGCGCAACGTGCCGCACCCGCAGTCGCCACAAAGACATTGTGATTCTGACCATGATCACGTACGTAACCAGGCAGGTATAACGAAGTAAACAATGTTCATTCACCTTTCGTACACGAACATAATACAAGGACTTTGGTTATACTAGTTGGAAAGATGACACTGTAACCATACGTAAATATTAAAACTAATATCACATGTAACCAGAACCATATCAATTGACTTTAATTTATACTTCATAATTCAAGCAGATGTAAAAGTCATGTTACCTCACTAATTCGCCGGACGAATTGCTAGATACAATGTTTTATATGATACGAGGTATAAATTGAAGGTTACGACTTTACCGACACGGTCAGGAATGACTATATCGACCGTACATTACACGAAACAGTCACAAAACTCTTGTTATCATTCATATTTTCAGATGCTTTTTTTGATAAAAATTTCTTTAACTATTGACAGATTATTCAAGAGTCCATTTCTGACACAGCTTATAAATATTTAATGTGTAGACAATACCACCACAATAACTCTATGGTATATAAAGAGTAGTTAATAAGAAAATATTTTATGAATTTGATGTATGTGAATGGCTCTGTTTTGGTCCTACTTTAATTTCTTTGATTATCTGCATATACATAAATCCCGAAATTATTGAGGGTAGAGGAATGGAGAATCATTGAACTATTTCTGTGTATAAAAAGTGTCCGAAAAACGCGTCCAATAAGGGTGGCGCTGCGGTAGCCTAGTATAGGATAAATTTTAATAATCAGTAATCAGAATAAGATGGACTAATAAAATCACTTAAATAGTTGAGGTTTTGGATACTGACATTTTACTAACTACTCTAGTCATGAAAATTGATAAATATTTGAACTCAGCACACTTCACTCTGTCCACAACACCTATGTTCATAACGTAGTTTTTCGTACGTTAGCGACCTCTATTTTCAGTATACAGCTGGACAGTGGACACTTTTTCAACTTTCCCCCCATGAGATGGTTCTCCTTGCCTCTACACTCCATACCCGAAAAAATGTACCACGATGAGATTTATTACATTTGAGTTGGAGTGCAGTGTTGTGCAGTTTGAGTTTTTATTTTATACGGCCGTAAAAATCTGAGCAGGGACTAGGTGTAGTTCACTTATCTGAGCCATTAAGTAAAAAAAATGGGTCGATTTTCATTTCTGCTAATTACTTATATATTAATTTATAGCAGAAGATCTCATATCTTTTTACTTCATAAGTAGCTATGTATGTTTTCATCGTCAGTTCCAATGAAAATATCATTACCATCATCGCATTACGAATATCATGTTGTGCTATGAATGCAGCTACCTACTTAACACACAAAAACTATGTATGCTGAAAGTATGCTCCTTCAGAAACGATACACTTACGCCAATCATTAAAACATTTTTTAAACGTTGTTTCCGGAATTGAGTTCAGTTCTCGCCTCGAATTCTCCTTTATGTCTTCTACCGATTGAAAACGGGTGCCACAAAGTGGTAATTTGAGTTTAGGATAAAGAAAGAAGTCGGCTTAAGCCACATCTGGTGAATATGATGATATTTGTTGAGTGTTTGGTCAAAAATTCGTTCACAATGATAGCCTTGTGCGAAGGCGCATTATCGTTGTGTGAAATCCAAGAATTTTCTTTAAACATTGAATTTGCTCTCTTAAATGCCGCATAACGCTCAAATAATATTCTTTATTTACCGTTTGACCTTCCGGCAAGAATTCCGAGTGCACAACACCGCGATAGTCAAAGAAAACAGTCACATGACTTTGACTTTGGCGTGGATTTTTCGGTTTCGGTTCAGTTGGAAGGCGCCACTCCGAAGCTTGTTGACTAGTTTGCATGTCAAACTCGTAAACCCACGTCTCGTCACCAGTAACAATGCGTTTCATGAATGATGGGTCGGAATTGGCTCGTTCTAGCATGTCCTCGGCGACTCTCATGCGATTGAGTTTTTGGAGAAAATTCAGGTCTTTTGGGACTAGCCGAGCGGTAACATGTTTCATACCCAAATGATTAGTTAAAATGGTACGGATCGACTCGTGAGATACAGAATTTCGGCGGCTATCTCTCTCAAAGTTGAATGAGGATTTTCAGTCACTATTTCCTTCACTTTTGCAATGTTAACTTCAGTTGCAGACGTTGATGGCCTACCAGAGCGAGGCAAATCTTCCATCACGACCGCTTTTGAACGGTTTGTACCACTCATAAGCACGTGTTTTTGATAAAGTGGATTCACCGTAAGATTTTCAATGACTCCGAACACGACATTTCATTGGCGATGCAAAATTTAAGACAAACTTTTTGTTCGATGTTTTTGTCCATTATGAAATTTGCAATACACACTAGATATGATATAACTAAAAACAGCACTGTATTTAATATAAATAACAGATGCAACTCAAACTCCGCGCCAAAATAAAAAACAGTTGTGCCAATCTAACAACAACAAAAATTTGAATTTGGAACCATAAATAAATCATCCATTCAAGAAACTTTTTTGACTGAATGTATTTATAGATTGCGTTTTACTTTTGATCAGTCTCTATGCTAAACGCATGTTTATACCTGTGAAATGTCACTTCTTTTGAATTTTTGCTCCATCCAACCATCTCTGTGTATAAAAGTGACCGTCAAAAAGCATCAAATTATGGTGGTGCATGGTGCCAAGTTGGATTGTTCGAGTAGGATAGTAAATTAAACAAGGACATGAACATTTCCGCTTTGTTACGGCGCACTTTTCGAATTAATTATAACATTGGCAATCGTCGTTAATAAATATATATAAATAATTATAAATATAATATAATACCTAATATATATTTTATTAAAGTACTTTAAGTTAGCAAAACTTCACTCCGTCTAAGTATAACTGCAATGTTAAGCTATGTTCATGTCATTTAAGTACACCAGTGCCATTCTGGTCGGTTTTAGGTATTAAAACTATTATTTGCTGATTTTTGCGTGAAATATCTTCAGTTCGCCGTCCAAGATAGTGCTCCTTACGTCTACCCTCCATACTGTTAACATGGCTACAATCTCTAAATAGAACACCACATTTTTTTATATGTATCCATTAAAATTAAAATAAAAGATTACGACAAAATCACAAAAACAAAACAGAATATCATTGTGACAGAAGACTATTAGCGAAAATTTTTCTTCGAAGAAATATCTCTGTCGGGTATATTCTATTTCTTTCTCACGTATTGGTTTATGCATAAAGTTATCTCACACGTTGTTCTTCTTATCCCAATAAGTTTGAACTTGAAGAAGCACTGGCGGTATTGATAGGCATAGAGAGAATCGTTTTAATGCCAATGATGTTTTAAATTAAAAAGGTTTTTAATTTTCACTTTCAGTTTGAAATATGCCACAAAGAGAAAGTTAGGAACTAGCTAGGAACTTAGCCTCTATATTTTAGTGGTATTAAGTAATTTTGCAAAACATATTTTTGAGAATAGCACTGAAAGAAAAGCTAGGGAAGAGACACGTAGAAAAGATTTTAAAACAGACATTATTCCTCAATTAAATGTCGTAAAACACAACGCTAGATATCAAGCGGTACAGCTGTATAATAGGTTGCCTGAAGATATAAAGAGAGCGTTATATGCAGGTTCCTTTAAAATAAAATTAAAAGCTTTCCTTTTGGACACATGCCTTTATACTATTGATGAATTGTAACATAGAGAGAATTTATCTGAATTAAATTATCCAAAATATGTATATGTAAGATAACCAGTGACATTATATTATTTAGACATTTTTTCATTATTACTATTATATTAAAATGACTGTTTTAAAATACTAATGCTATTGCATGAATGATAACTAATGATGACACATTTGTGTTTTTTTTTTTGTTTAAATATTATTGGAACGAAGTTCCTTATCGCGCGTTGTGGCGGGGCTAGACGGAAATAATTCTCACGAAAAGTTGTAACGACACTTTTTATTTTGAATTGTCACTTGTCAGTCATTCAGCGCCATCTATCGAATAGATAGGAGATCATTACTTTTCATCTCAGTAAAATTAAAATTGTTTTAATTAGAAACCAACTGAAAAATATGTAGGTAATAGCCGCTTTCATAGATGGCGTTGTAATTAAAATTGTGTCGAATCCGTTTTACTCGATCGTCACAACTTCGTTCCTATCAGGTGTCCCTCGACACCACACGGCTTTTTACTATTATTTTATTAATTATTTTTAATTTCAAATACAATGTAATTTGTTGATGAATAAATGACTATGACTATGTAATAAGCACGTTGGTTTAATGTTGGTGTAATGTTTAATGCATGGAAAACTCGTTAAGTATAACTGAATATGGTAATATTGGTGAAGTAATTATGTTGGCTAAGAACCAACGAAATTTTTACGGTATTCCATCACGGGTTCTATTCCAAAATGGTCAAAGGCTGGTCTAACCTAGGAGTTGACTTCCTAAACCCCCTCTAATAATAGTTAACAGTGATGATAAGGAGTACAAAATTACTGAGTCCGTGAAATGTTGTAAATGTGAAACCTTTTGAGAAATTTTATTAAATACTCTTTAATTATTAGCCATAAAACGATATACAAAAAAAAGGAACTTGTCAAAATTCCTACGAAATCAATTAATAAGCAATAAATATTTCTTGACTTGATACACAAAGTACTTTATAAATTTTGCCTAAAAGTCCGACTCTGTCAAATATGAATATTTATAAAGACTTTATATATAATGTTAGAAAAATGGAATGTGAGACTCCATATCTTATAGTAATAGAGGAACATCCACCAATATACTTTTATGGTTGCATAAGATCATTGATGGCAGTCCCGTTCTTGGAGTCTTGTTACAACCTTTACTATGGAGAGCTAAGAAAAATTATTCGCAGCTTTTTAAGATTCTATTGCCTTACTGCATGCCATGCCTTAAAAAGAGCAGAAGATTATAAAAATACTTTAGAATACAATAGTATGATGCATCTGTTTAACAAAACAGTTGTTTACCATCAACGCAGTCACGACGAGTTCCTTAAAGAATTTCAACCCATCGAATCAACAGAAGAACAAGAGAAATTTGATGCAATAATATCACTATATAATACTTTTAAGGAAAAACTGTTGGAATTTGGTGAACAATTAAAAACTTTCAATAAACAGGATAAAGTAGATGTTTTTGCCAAAGATCATTTTACAATATGCGGTGAAAAGCTTCATCAGCTCAATGAATACACACACATTTTCATAGCGAAATGGTTAGAAGAACATGTAAGTACCTTTTTTTAACTGTCTTAGAATCCACAACGAAATCAATCAGAAGAAAATTGGAGTAGTTGGAAATATAGTAAATCCACTTCCTTCCTTAGCAAAGCGGGAGACAAAGCTTTTTTTTTTTAAGACAACTCCCGCACTAGTATTATAACCGTAAGTATTTAAAATAGGTATACAACCTTTTGAACGGAGAAACACCACGGCCACAAAATATTATGGGTCCTTAGTGAGCTATATTTGATTCCTATAATATGTATGGCAGAATCGCTTAAACGCACGGAAATTGACCCTAGTTGACACAAGATCCCGATAGTATACCGCCCCAGATGTCACCTGTAAGCTATTCAGTAGTATAATACGTTCATTATGTAAACCAAAGACTAAATTTTCAGAGGATGTGATAAGCAGACTGTTCACAGTAAGAGTCAGGTGTTGAGCATTAACACAATGGCAGGCTACGTGACAGGAATTTGTTGTTTTGGCTAAATTTATCTTGTAATGTACACATTATCAGCTTTTAATAGCCCACTGCTGGACATGGACCTCTCCTTAGAAAGGAGGTTTTGGTCAACTATACCACGCTATTCAGCTATATGGCTGGCTAGATATACGCTACGGAGGTATATGGTTTGTGTCAAGTTTTCCTTCTCTTTGCAGTGCTGTTGTCCTGCGTAGTTTTCTCCCTCAGTCGGCTCTTACGACACCCACACGATGAATAAGGACGATAACACACGTATACTTAAATTGTCGCCACACGGATATAGTTTAGGTAGATATTTAATTAATTAACTCGGGTGCTGTTAAAATCAATACATTCAAATCATGCGAAAATCTTAGTATTGTTTTCAGTGCAAATTGACTCCTCGTTGACAAATTCTTTTATGTCTGACAAAATAAAATGTTGTTAAGAAAATAAATCATTTTTTAATGCATCATTTACAGACCAGAGAAATCCGTGTCAGTCTAGAAGACATCCACCGTCGATTGCGTATCAACTTCGCTGAGTACAAGAAAGGGTATGAAGACCGTTTGAATTATCTTCACAACGAATTATACGAGCTGAACAAGGAGAGTGTGGCGATCTCGAGAGCCCCACACAAATCTACACAAGCGGCTGCCGTAGTCAGTAGCTATTAACCATGTTCTTTTCTTAAATGGTCTCGACCAGTGCCGGATTAAGACAGCGCGGGGCCTGTAGCAAATTCTACCAAGGGCCCCTTGGGTTGTTTTAGGTTATCTAGTTTATGGTGGGAATCAAACCCACGACCTCTGGCTTAGCAGGCTCACTAACCACTAAACCAACAGGCCCGTCAAATTATAGTTTGACATTTAGATGCAACTCTTTCGTGATAAGAATTTTGGCTTTATTGATTTGAAAAAATATTTTCGAAATACGAGTAAGTAGATACTTTTTTACGGTCATAAAGAGCGGGGGCCCCCAAATGCATGTAAAGTAATAGTAGATTTTTTTTGTTTTTGTTTTAAAGAATTCCATGTAGAATAGACCGTAATAAGATTATAATATTAAAAAAAGGTTAATTTATTGTGAAAAAACAGTTTTAAACTGATCTACGATTTTTTCGAACCGGGGCAGAAACTTTATAACTTAAGAAACTCACAAATATACAGACTGTTATGTATCTTTTAACGAACCTCAAAAAATATTTAGTGGTTTAGAAACAGGACATTTTTTTTGTTTTCGTAATTTGCAACATCATGTGTACATGCAGTCATAATACATTGACCTCAGGCGGCAATCAGCTGTATACGCGGCGCGGTAATCACACGTTGCCGCTTTTACTACACTCGAATCGAACGAAATTTGTTGATTTTTGCGTCATCAGGATGAAGGACACGCGTTTTTAATTAGTTCACCAGTAATGTGTTAGTGTGTTATGCTATTCTGTGTCCTTGTAGATGCGCTCACGACAAATTACCGTAATAATAATATAGTTATTGTTCGTGAGATATTTGTTTAGAAAAGTTTTGCTGTGTTAATAATTGTTTAGTCATATTTCTTTCGTCATAATACACGGCAATGGTGTGAACAATTAATGTTATCGTGTACGCAAGACTTCGAGTCCTGCTAATTTTATTTTGAAAAGTGACAATATTAGGTTCTGTGTGTAGTGTAGTGTGAAACTGAGTGAATTATAGGTCTTTTAATTTTATTGGGTTATCGGTATCAACATCCATAATGCCGTGAGTGACCTTCACAGCTGCGGAATATCCTACCATGATGTTAATTTATGGGAAACTCTATCAAAACGCATCTGTTGCTTTACGGACAGGTATGGAGTCAATCGTGTATGTCCTACAGACTGCCGAATTTTTGTAAGGGTGGTACAAAGATTACGAGACAACCAAAGTAGTACCTACTTTTTCAAGGAGTGACACGTACTGCCGGGTCCGAAGCTAGTCGAGCATTTCCAAAATAAATAAAATCGTATTCTTAATAAATAGATTTAAAAAAGCAAGTGAAGTGATTAGTAGGTTAGTAATAAAAATGTAAAGTTCACCGGCTCGTCGCGGCGGCGGCGGCAGCGTTGCTTTGATGTCGTCGACATTGCGACGCTGCCGTATACAGTTCACCGGCTCATGTTATCAATGGTGTTCTAATTCGGAAATTATTTTATTGTATTTAGTTTGTTCTAAATTTGCACTTCTGAATTTTCGTACCAATTTTTTATTTTAATCGACGTATATTGAACCGTGTTATCTGTTATTTCATTTTTTGTGATATGTATAATAACACCCATTATAATGGTTGGAGTTTTTCGTGATTGGGACAAGGATAACAAATTATTTAAAAAAAAACTTTTTACTTTTTAGATTTTCTTTTATTTATAGCATATTTGATTCCCAAAAAAAATTGTTTTCTTCAAAAAACTATTAAAAAAATTCTTTGGTCATTACAAAAAATAAGGGTTAAAGGTTGTTTAAATTCCCGTCATTAGATGCTAGATAATAGCCTCGGGGCACTTTCACTGGGCGCCAAAATCATAATATAAATATGCTTTAAAATATAAAAATTTGCTCAACAAATCGCCTAGCATGCAGCTTTGTTGTGCATTGTGATATCAATTATTCATTTTGAGCGTTCCAATGAGCAAATTGTCTAACTCCATATTTTTCAGAGGGTAGTTTTAATTTTTGAGAGAGCAATTGTCTGAAGATAATGGACGCCGGGGCTGTAAACTGAGAATTTATTAAACTTGATTGTTGACTTATGGAGGGAAGACAAGGAGAACCATCTCTGTGTATGAACAGTGTCCATCAAAACAGGATAAGCATAACGATTTTTTTAAAGAAAGTGCCAAATTTATATTGACTTAATAATAATTAGACACTATGTACTAGACTGCGAAAAATATAGTCAATGAGTTTTACAGATACTAAATAACCGTGTAATAACTCTCAGACAAAAAAACTACTATAATATTTTAAATCGGCACAGTTCACTCCGTCTACAACAGCTATGTTCATATCGTAGTTTTTCTTACGCCAGCGACCTCTATTTTTAACCGACTTCCAAAAAGGATTTTTTTTATGTATGTTCACCGATTACTAAAAGACGCCTGAACCGATTTGGATTATTTTTTTTTGTTTTAAAGGGGGTATCCTTTAAGACAAAAAAATTATTGAATTTTATTAAAATCAGCCGTGGTTTTTGAAAAATCTGCAAAAATCTAAAAATTGTATACATCGATGGTATTTTTGTTTACTTACGAAACCTTGCTGTCTCTTGGTCTTTGTTAGTTTTGTTTGAAGTCGTTTCAACTTTTTTTCAAAAGGATTTTTATCAGTGTACAACTGGACACTTTTTCAACTTTAACCCTATGTATATGAGAATGTTCTCCTTGCCTCTACCCTCCATATGTTGGCCGGAAAACCGAAAACAGACAAGTTTTGATGACGTAACTTCTGCCAGTTACGACGTTCGTTTTTTTTTTTGGTAGAAGTATATGGTACGTGCTTCTTTAAAATGGACTAATATAATCATATGTAATTAAGAAGTAGAAACAACAATTCTACCATTGTATTGTACACTACATTTGTATTTAACATATTTTTTTAAGATTTGTAATAAAGATAATGTGTTTATACTTACTGGGCATACTGAAAGTTTCTTGATTCTGATAAATAAGACTATATGTAAGACTTACGATACATTTATTGTTTTTCTAAGTATATTCTCTCTGAAACCACTGTACAAAGCAGTTCGACCAGTCTTCCTTAGGGACCTCTTTAATGGCCTCATGAAACACATTCACCGCCGATTCAGGGCTCATAAAACGTGTGCCTTTAAGCTTGTCTTTAATTTTTGGAAACAAAAAGAAGTCGCATGGTACGAGGTCCAGGCTGTAAGGCGGATGTGTCATCGGCGGCGGTGAAGGAAGAAATTACTTCGAGGACGCTTCTGGGCAAGCAAGTGTTGACATACCAATCTGCAGTCACTGTCCTTTGATCTTCAAGCGATACTGTAGTGTAATGTCCTGATTTTCCGAAAAAAGAAGCAATCATTTTTTTCTCCAATGCTTCGACTTTTCTTAACTTTTTTATGAGGAAAGATCACTCTGCCGACTGGTTTTTTCTTTTGGGTTCAAAGCAGTACACTACAGTATAATAACAGGTTTCGTCACCTGTTACAATATTATAGACAGCCAATGACTGCCCTCCGTTAACTTTTTTATCATGTAACAACACCACTGGACTCGTAGTCGTTTCTGTTCCTCCGTTAAGTCACGCGGTATCCTTCAGCTGCACATGTAAAATGTTTTGCACTTGGCTCATTCCAATTCCTAACAAAGCACGAATTTGCTGGCAAGTATTTTTTTGTCACCTTCAATAAGTTGTCATACGGTGTCAATATTAGAGTCTGTAACCGCAGTCCCCAGCCGAACTTCACGAACCTCGTCATGGAGATGATCACGTCTACGTTTGAATTCGCCAAACCACTAATACACTGAGCTGTGGCATGGTGCTTCATCGCCAAATGCCAATTAAAGTATCTGGCAACTCTTATTGTTGACTTAAGCCACAACGAAAATTATCAGAAATCATTGAACGAAAATGTTCATGAGTTAAAATTAATTTTGATAGCGACACACAATTTTCGAAAGGACGTCACAATGAAAAAACAAATAACAGTCTCGCAAATTAAAAAGTAACATATTTCCAGTTCCATTTTCGAAATTCCTTCATTGGTTTTAATTCTTTTATTGTAAGTGGCCAAAACCAGAGACTCAATAAAATACGTATTGTTTCATTTGTATCTTTAATAAAGTGAGTCATTATATTATATACCTACATAATGTTAAAGTTCATTTTCATGAACACGGCTATTTTCATTTTCAGAATAAAAAGAAAATAGCCGTAGTTAAAAATAAAATACAATCATTTGGGAATTTTTTTGTTTTTAACCGGCTCAACCAAGAACTTGAGTTTTGGACACAAAGAGTAGCTGCATTGGAAGAAATAACAACAATTATTGCTAAGGTTAAAACGGCGTTGGAAAAAGCGAAGGCGGAGGAGAAAGCGCATTCAAAATACGAGTAAGTATTTACTATAATTGCTGTTATCGGATAGACAACGTGAAGACCGTGGCCAAGATTGTAGCATAGTAATAAAATTAGCAAAGTCAAATAATCATATAGAATGGACTGTGTACTAATTTGGCGAACAATGCGGGCGCAATAAGTCAAGACCTCAGTAATATGAAAGTATTTTCAGTATGTTTTCGATCTTTAAGCATAAAGATAAAGCAAGCAAATCGTAATGCAAGTCAAATATCCCGTGTCGCGGGGGAAAAACATGTAACGAACACAAATAACACCCAGACTCAAAACAAAAATATGTGGTTCATACAAAGTTTTGTCCCATGTGGGGATCGAACCCACAACACTCAGCGCAGTCCTATACGGCGAGGTGACCGCTTATAACAGTCATGCGTGCAGTCATTTATACAGGAAGTTATTATTTGGCTGTTGATATTCATAATTTGTTGTCATTAAACTGAAAAATAAATAGTGAAGTAGAAAATAAGACATTGTGGGCTTACGTACGTCCCTAATTTTTAAGTAATTATTATCGTGTTTGTGTAGTTATCCAAAAACTTTACACTTTCATATAACAAACACTCCAAATTAAGGCCCTTTGAATACAGCTTGTTGTTTGATTATAAAATTGGTATTTATATTTTTACAGGCCGATTCACCTAGCTAACACGCACAAGTACGTGTGCTGGAACAGAATGGCTGAAAATATAATAAAGTATAGAACAGATCTTGAAAATAAATACGTGGAAGTATGCAGACCGCTCATGACTTTTTTCTCTGCTAGAGGTGAAATTTATAATAATTAGAGATTCACATCAACAGCCTATGATAGTCAAAAGCTGGACAGAAGAAGGGGGAATGGCGTTCACTTAAGGAAAAAACGCTCTATCTTTTTAAATTTTTATTTTATAATAATATAATGAACTAAATCTTTAACTATTAGATAATCAACATTTTGATCCCAAACGTATATATATTTGACATATTAGTAGTAGGAAAACTTGAAAAAAGTAGGTTTGAGCGCGTCATTACCCCGGACTCTGGGTAATGCCGCTCCGGCTAACGTTGTAAATATTATTTGGCGGGAACTTGTTTTTCCATTAAATCCCCAGGCTTCTTATAGAAATGTGTTAGTTCCTCTTTATTTATAGCAGAAACCCTATTTAAGCTCGTTGCTTCAGCTTTGCGTAGGTATAGCAACTGAAACTCATAAAGCCACTACCCAATCCAATTCGGCTTTTTTGCTACACTGATCAAAATCGTTTTTTATATTGTTAAGTTCAGCATATTTGTAAATAAGTTAACGCAAATCGCCGATGCTGAGTCCATAATACAGCGAATCTAACAGCTTGACTTGTTCAACTATTTCATGATGTTGCTGTGGGTGAAAATCGGCTTACAACCCAGTCTTGGGCTTATATTATTATTTTTAATCGATATCTGAAAGTTGTAAATGGTAGCCGCCGCCGCCGCTCAAGAAAATTGAAGAAGGGGTGTCCAAAGGCGAGCCGCAAAACAATTCAACAGAATTGTTTTGCGGCTCGCCTTTTGGAAACCCCTTCTTTCTACCGCAGCTTTAGCAGATTGAAGGCCTATTTCGCTCCAAGTCGCTTTAGTGGTGGTCCTTTGGCGATTTCTGGCGATCTATAAGGCAAGGTGAATAAGTAACTAAGACCACTAAAGATTGGCTGAAAAACACAGATAGAATAGACAGTTATAGTATCTCTCTGACACTGTTTTATCTGTTGATACTATACATTAGTGTTGGTATATTATAGGTGCGGATCGTATTATGTACTCGGATAGCGTCGGTTCGTTCTACATTGATGAATACGGACATCAGAACTACATCACTGACTACGGCGCTAAGTACTACCACATGAACTGTGAAGGTCAATACATACTGGTTGGTAAGACTTACATTTCAGCAGATACCGTTACACCCCAAAGCCAGTAGACTTTCATAAAACTAAGTACTAGTTTTCTAGAGGGGAACTCTTACTAAAAACTGATTAAGAATCGATTGCCCCAGTGCGGCGACATCGGCGAACAGGACTAGGCCCTCGGGTGACATAAATAACCACATTTTATTGCAAAGCAAAATATTTCTTAAGATTAAGACAAACATTTATAGTCAGCATGAATCGAATTTGTAACTCAAGTAAAGTCTAAATTACTTAACTACTTAGTGACGAATGACGTGAGCGGCGTGTGAGTAACAGACAGTTTCGGTGCGGGCATTAGCTGCAAACCCCAAAACTCAATACTGTATTAATTGAAAGAAATATCTTCAGGAATATAGGTTTACCATACAAGTCTCCTCTATTCTCAAAGTAGAGGCAGAGCTAAGAAAAGAAAAGCGTGTAGATTTAAATATGTATTGTACCAACCTCCAGTAACTAAATTCAAAAATGATATTTTTATTCGTCAGAACCAGGATAATGAAAAATATTACTTCGACAAGAACGGCCGCTACGTAATAAAAGACGGCAATAAAGTCTATCAACTTGCTCCCTGTACAAGTTCCAACACCCTGACAGAGAACGGATTGTGGCGCAATCTTGAGCCATGTAGATGCACGGGAATATGTTTGGCCAAAGTACCCTTCGGGACATGTTCTACTCGCGTTCACAATTTGAATGATGCGGTGCTTTTGCCAAAGTCGGAAGTTATTAATATTGAAAGTAAGTATAGCTATGTTCATATCTATTTACTGTATTTCCAACTCCTCCAATTTTCTTCTGATTAATTTCGTTACGGGTTCCAAGACTAATTTCTTCCTGGGACTTCCCGAGTGTCAAAACTCGGTGTGTTCGTGGGTCACTGCTGTGGATTCCGGTGTACAGGAGTTACAGTGGTGGGCGTGTGGGTGGGATTAGTCCCAATAAAAATTGTTCATATCTTTGGTCGACGTTATATTTATATTAATTACATTTTAAATGCATAAAAAGAGAAATATATATGTACCGGAACAATAATCACCGAATCCACATTCCACATTTCGACAGTCAATTGACTGCACGGATGGCGTAGTGGTTTAAGCTACCACCTCGCCGTTTCCTACTGCGCTGAGTGTTGCGAGTTTGTTCCCCACATGGGACAACACTTTGTGTGATCCACAAATTGTTGTTTTGTCTGGGTTTTCTGTGTCCATTTCATGTATATTTGTAGTCACTCGCGACACTAGTCCTAGTGCGGGAGTTGTCTTTGAAAGAAACAAAACAAACACAAAATCTTGTGAGAAAACATTTGATACGTGTTTAAAACAGTTCGTATTTATTTTCGTTTTTTATTTTTATTTTTCTTTTCCGTTCCAGAAACATTAGATTCTGATACAGTAAAATATTTGTGGCACCACTTCGGATGGATACTACCTGAAGTGCTCAATGAAGTCGGTAGAGTGCAGCCAAGGAATCCGATACACTACCTTGGACATTTGATATTGAACAAAACGTAGGAACAAATTCATTTATTAGTATTTGTCATGATTTTACCTGGCCTGTAGGTCTAGCGGTTAGTGACCCTGACCAGTTATTCGGAAGTCGTGTTGTGTGATGATCATTTCTTCCATGTCTAGGTGTACTTTATCTATAATATGTATTTATTTAGAAATATATAAGTAGGTATATATACGGGTGTCACTGACCCTGGCTTGGCCACCATCATGGATTTTAAATAGTAAATAGTTTTTGACAAGTACAACAATACAAGTGTGACCCTGCGGCTGGCCCCAGTAAGGCCCCCTATAAACGCTTATAACTTTTGAACCAAATTTTTATGTTATTAAAATTAAAATTCAAGCCAGTGCCAGTGACACTATATACGGGCCTGTGGTGTATAGTCTAGATGACCCTGATTAATGATTAATGACCCTGACTGCTAATTCGGATGTCTTAGGTTGGATTCCCACCCAGGTAAAATAACTGTGATCAGCTTGATCATTTGTTCAGTGCCTGGGGGTGATTAGGAGTCGTCGTCCGAGCACCGCGTCACTGCCACACGAATGAAAGTTGTATATTTACAAGCCCACGCACACATATAAGTATGTACTCGTATATCAGCAGACTGGGTAAATACCATAGTATACGTTTAGTACCATTTATACGCTCAGCCTAGTTGGCGATCAGACGGATGTGGGGCTGTCTAGTTATTATTATTCCATGTTAGAGTAGAAACAACATTATTTCAATATATATATATTGTTACAGCCATTCTATTACTTGTAAGAATATCAAAGAGCGACAAAAGTTAGCTAAGAAATACCGAGAGGATATTCATAAACAACGCAAAATGGTTAGTAGACAACCATTGATTAATAAAAAATAAAGCTACGTCAGTGCCATGCAGTAATTGTTCGTGTATCACAATTGTGCAGTGATTTGCAGCACAGATTAGTCCACATAGACAGCCGTTCCGACTTCTTAACAGGCATGGGATAAGTCACAATCATGTTGGCGTAGTGGTTTAAGCGGTCACCACGCCGCTTACTACTACGCTGTGTTGTGGGTCTGATCCCCACATGGGACGATACTTTGTGTGATCCACAAATTGTTGTTCAGAGTCTGGGTGTTCTTTGTGTCCGTTTCATGTATGTTTGTACAGATTCCCTGCGACACAGGATATATTCCTAATGCGGGAGTTGTCTTTTAAAAATAATAATTAAAAATATATTCATCAGTGCTCGGCTCCTATTGGTCGTTGCGTGATGTTATATAACTTAAAGTCTACCTACATAAATAGGCTATCCAACACTAAAAGAATTTTTCAATTCGAACATGTAAATCTTCAGATTAACGTGTTCAACCGAACAACAAACAAACAAAATCTTCAGCTTTATAATATTAAGTATAGAGATAGGCTAAGGCCCGGAGAATTTCAGAATTTATAAACCATAAAATTGTAAAAGACAAAAATTTGATTAGTGACTCACTGGTAGTTTTGGAAAAGGGATTTTGCTTGTTTTTTTTTAATCTTTGTGGGTGTGATACTGAGCACGCGTACCTGTAGACGATCCTTAGAGGTAGTGATAATCATTGAATCAATTTTCGTCAACACCTCTTCACAGCCGAAAAATGTCTACTGCTGGACATAAGTCAGGCCACAACCGGTCCTGCGCATCAAACCGCTTCCCAACCAGGTCGTCCGACCGCCTTGTGCCTACCCACCCTCCGTGTAACACTTACATTTATTTTAATATTCTATCTCGTTATCACAGGAAGTGGATGAGCGAATTCGTGCTTGGAACGCGAAGCAGGCGAAGCCTTTCAAGGCTTCAGACTGGGACGATTCTGCTGACAAGCCGCTCCAAGACTCACACCAATTTGCCGCTGATTTATTGATGTATTATAGTCAATAATGGTTCTTTGATTCAAACGGTTCTATATTAAAACGCGTACATTGAAACCTTTTATAATAAATATTGCTTTAGACGTCTACAGATGTCCTCAACATTTGGGTGTATTAGAAACAATATATTTTGTTACGCAGTTTACATAGTGTTACTACCTAGTTTTTGGACACTTGGTTTGTATTATATAGTTGACAGATTAATCATCTCTAATTTGTGTTTGGTAAATATATTACATTTAAAATGGCCATTTTGTTGTCATTTAAAAAGATTTCAAAGATTCCAGCTCTTTTCTTATCGTTAAAGGTATTTTTGTTAACGTTTATATTTTATAAATCAAGCATCTATTGTTTTCTTTACCTTACCGTTTAAGTTGTGAACAGATTGACATTTATTCAGGAGCGTAGGCTGAGATGGTTTCCGACCCTGGAAAAAACCCCTTTAGAATATATAAAAGAAAATAATAAAATTAAAAAATATTTGTGTCAAGGTACAGGTATTTATTGTTCAAGCGTCTACTAGATAATAATGAGACACACTCTGTGAGACGTCGACTTTTGTCCAAAAGCATATTTAAAAAAAACAACCAGACAAACTTACATACTCGTCTCGGATGTACATTGAAAACCAATTTAAAACCCACTGCCATGAAAATAACGAACAATTTAGAATGCCTCTGTAATTAACACAATGGTACGAGGCAACAAACTTATTTTAAAATATACTACTATAATTTCAACTTTATATTCTCGAAAATCAATCACAAAAAAAGTCAATTTATAAAAACTACCATAAAAATATTGCCAGGATAAAAAATAAAGACAATGGGTTAAAAATGGTAATAAACATATTACAGGTGAATATACGAAAATAGTTTGATGGAAGCAATATCAACTCACAAATTTTGGGGTCACAGCGAATTGCCAATGCAAGACAGCACAATAAGTATTTAAACCAAAATCTCAATTCTATCAAAATCATTGAAAATCCAAAATTCGTATACGTCTCGACGGTTGCTACTACCCTACTCCATAAACAATATTAATGCTGTCTTACAAAAGTTCAAGAAATAACGAAATCGCAATAGCTTTGCTACCATCACTAAAATAGGTTTTTTTTTACATCTAGGAAACAGATTTCTGAATTTTAATATTGTAATATATTCACTAATTTAGATATGGTTTGAATTTTCAACAGATACATTCGAACATACAAATGTTACTACAGTTAAAAAATATTTTTACAATTCGAACGTTTCTCTATATAGAAATTGTTGCAACGGCTTTTAGTTTAAAAATAGGGAGTACATTTGTAGATTCGAATATCGAAATCGCTATATTTATAGTACGTTTATTATTTCAATCGTAAGATAGATTATAAAACAATGCTTCCTAGGTCACATTTGAAAAACCTTTAAAATATTTTTGTTCAGTAAAAACTATTTAGTTACATTATTGTGTCTTACTCTGGAAATGCATATATAAGAGAGATATTACACAGGGACAATGTAATTATTATATTATTATATTTCCTAAGAAGCGTCTCTCTGACGTCATTTGGTAGAGCCACAAAAATAATAGATTTAACTTGCATGTGATTGACATATTGACAGAATTTATGTGTTATTACGGTCCCACATGTTTTAAATCGAAAAACGTTATCTTTTCGGCTTAAAATATGTGGTTTCAAACTTTTTCGTCGTTAATTAACAAACCAATTACCAAATTATGTCCTATATATGTATTTCCTGGCGCGTGGACACGATAAACTCCTCACAATTAGTTAGTTACACGCTAATAACCGCACAAACAGGTACAAAAGTATCGTTTTCTTTTCTCTTTTATTTACAAGAGGTGAACATCAGAAATTAATATTACATATAGAATTTGGTAACAACATAACGTGACATGATGGGGTCCGGTCTAATTTGTCATTTTGTACGGTCACCGACTACACGTATCGACTGATTAGTTACTTCTCATCTAAGTACGAAGCAAAACAAAATTTAAAAGCATACCCAAATATTTTATTTTTCGATAACGCGTAACTTTAAAAAGCGATTAAATCTAATAATTCTGTAACACGAAACGAAGTACAATAATTTCTGGAGAAATTAAAAAAAAAAGAAATCTAACATTTAACATTACCCCACATTCCAATTCCCAATTAATAAACGCTAGTTGGTAGTTATATAATCATAGGTTACTTTCACATTTTGGATAATGACTATGTACGTTGTATTAAAGAAAAAAAATATGTACAAAAAAGAAACTAGGTATTTATTAATAAAATTGAGAAATCATCAATACTCCAATGTTTTCATTTGAAACGGAACGAACATAAAACTACACGAAATTCCGACTGGCCATTTAGTACAACTAGAAACTGTTAGCATTTATAGTTCGTCAAATGACAAATTGTATTGAGCTAAACATAGTTGTGTCCATCAAGTGTCTGTATAAAAACTTCTGAACGTTAATACAAACGCGAGAAGAAACACCACAGACTGTAGCCGCTCGCACTAATAAAACTGTATCGTAGACTCTATTACATCCAATCCAATATCTATTATAATATACATCCACTAATGGCCAATGTTAACACGAAACGAAAAAAAAAAATCTATACTACAGAAAAGAAATAAAATTGTAACGCGACAAAATTAAAATGTTCTTTGCTATACAAATAAAGGTTCTTAGATAATGACTGCTTCAATCCGGTCGGGTTATATTATGGTTGGACGATGGGAATTTTGTGACGTGTGATACTGGTGAAGGACTGTGGCGAGCCAGAACTAAATAGGTTTTATTCTAACTCTTAATTCAGGCCAGACCACAGTCTACAGAGTATAACATTATATATTTTTATTTATTTTATTTTTGGATTCTATATTTATTTAGGTCATGTTGAATAGCCGGTTCAATTATAAGGGTGGGGCAGGGGATCGAGTTCGGTTCTTACTGGCCGCAAAAATGTACACATTTATCAATTCATACATTTAGAAAATAGTTCAATTGAAATCGTAAACAGAAGAAAAAGAGTCGGTTAATAGGCCGAACCATATATTCATCCCTTAAAATTATTTTTTGAGGCCAACAAGATAGATGGGTGGATGGAAAATGAGAAATGAACGACGACAAACCGACGATCAACACGGCCCAGGCAAAGACATTTGGCTGATCCAAACAAAATCACAACTACATCACTTAGTGTTCGAGACAGTCATGTACAAAAATTAAGTGTTACCAACGTTCAAAATTCATAAGCAATGTAATTGCGATCCCATTCGACTTGTACTAAGAATGATGTTCAGCTAATTTTGGGACGAAACCGTACACTTTGCGAGTGTACAAGATCGTTCAGAAACATGTTAAAATTTGTAGGTGGATCTTAATTTTAGATTTGAAAATAGTTTTTTTTTATTGATATGTTCAAATTTCTAAATCATTGACTACTGTATATAAGTCTCAATTCCAAAATAACTACAAACTAAGTGGATAGATCACAAGTTGTCCATTGTGGCGGTGTTGTGTCTACCTCAAGGTGCGTAATACATTGGTGTGTGGCCACGGGTCAGTGTACGGTCGCGTCCCGTAGTGCTAATATAAGACGTAATGTATATGCATTAGTTGGCTGAAAACGCATCCGTCAGTTCGGTCTGACAGTCGAAAGTTTCCGAGCTGTCGGGGTGATCCGGGAAGAACTCCCTGTATATTTTGTCCAGGAGTGATTGCCTGAAAACAATTTTTTTAATGTATTATTTGAGATGTAGTAACCGTGTCTATAGAGAAAAGTAGAAAGTACCTACTTCAGATATCGTTAAGAAACAATACAATTTGTCATCTTGATATTTTGAAAATATTAATTTATTGTACAAATCAGAGAATTATTTACGCCAACTTGACTAGAAGTAGCCTCGTAGTCAAGTTACGGCAATAATTACTTATGTTTTTAATGTGTCTCTGACTGTGTGTTACTAATATTAAGGTACGTTCACACTAAAGATGTGCGAAGTGCACAAGCATTATTTTTAGTTAATAATATTATTGGTAAATATTGATCAATACACTTGGTATTATCAATACAATCGCTAGTGTTACTGATTTTCTAGGTCAATTACGATAATGAGACAATTGATGGTTTTGCAATAATTAATGCAATTTTTACAATAAAAAAAAAATTGAGAATCCCTTCGTGTATTATACAACAAATACGGTAATAAACCGTAGTCTTAGGACTACGTTAGTCTAATTTCAGGGAAGAAATAATGTATGGGTCGATGGCCATATTGTTTTTTTATAGAACATACAGTCAATCGAGCAGACCGGTCACCTGATGGAAAGTGACTACCGCTGTCCATAAACGCATGCAACTCAGGAGTTACAAATGCGTTACCGGCCTTTTAGGACGGAGTACATTATTTTCTTGAAGGTTTGAAAGATAATAATACCTATTAATATTTATATTCGTTACTCACTTGGCGGCAAGCCCCCCTCCCGGAGGCAGGCCAGGTATGTTCTCCTGCAAGAGTTGTTTGAGTACCCACGAGAAGTCACTTGACGGGTCCTCGCGCTCCTCACTGCTGGTGCTGCGGTCTATCAGTGCTGGAAAGAAACAAATGAAGTCCAGTTAGCGAAGATATTGGCTAGTATCACGGGATCCAAAAATGTATTTTATACTAACGACCCGCCCCGGCTTTGCACGGGTGCAATGCATAACATCACATTACAAATTCTTGAAATTGACGGTTTTTCTCTATTATAATATTCATGTATTATACATATAAGTATTTCTCTTGAATCATCGATTTACTGTAGTGGCCAAATTGCGACACATGTTAAAAAATTGCAAAATAAAATGGTAATAATAAATGCATAATAGCGAGCAGGCAGAACAATAGTGAAGGACCCCTTAGTGCGGACAATGCAGGCAGGGGAAATTGGTGATTACTAGCCAGCTGCTATGACGAACAGCCGTCCGTCCACTCCTGCCCTAAGTTACACCATATTGTGTAAAAACGATTAAATTAATACTACCAATGAAATGGCCGAATTTAACTCTATTCATTTTGAATAAAATAAAGTATTTATGTATTGTTATCTTCTTTTTATTATTAAAAATTAAGCTTATTATATATCTAGATAACTTCAAATAGTTTAGTATAAAAAAAACAATATTGACCAGTTTGTGGATTATAATCCTAACCTCACACACACACGGCCGTCAGATCCCAAACCAGACAGACCCTGTACTATAGCGGCCAGGCTGCTGATAAACATACTTATGTATTTCTAAATAATATAGATTATAGATATTAGATAAATTGATAAATTATCCCCAGACACAGAACAAATAATCGTGTTCATCACACAATTATTTGTCCTATTTATTTATACTTTCAGAAAAAAACAATGTAACAGAGAATACAGGTATAAATTTCACGAGTGAAACCGCAGGTCAGAACTAGCTTGCTAGCTGTGACCTTTGCTTCTGAAAAGGGTGCAAAACGAGTATTTTCGGAGTGATCACTTTCAAAGACATAATTCATTCGTTGATAGACACATTACAGCTTTTTAACCTTCAAAAACGAATTACCCAGCATTTCAATTTTTCTCTACATATAATGTAAAGAAAAATTATAACATAAAAAAAAATGCCTAATAAACTTGTTTGAACGCCTAAAATATTCGTCATTTTAGTTTAAGTGTAACTCTATTTTAGTTCGTATTATTTCTATGTTAAGCAATCAGTATAATGTACAAGAAAATGGAAAAACAGTTGCTGTGTTGGCTTGTTATTGCGATATCGTAATTTCTCACGATATTTTACATCAGAGGTAGTAAAACGGACTGAAAATACTTTTGAAATATTAAGTAGGTGTAGTTTTATGATTAAAAATATGATTACTATACATTTCAGTTGCCTAATTAAGCTTTTGAACTTCTGAACTTTAAAATCGACGATAAGAAAATTCGTAACTTGAAAACCTTGTATAAATAATAATGATGTTAATATACATCTGGACGTTTCGGGAAATTATTTTTAATCTCTTTATAATAATCTCTGATCGTGTAATCTTTAAAACTATTTTTGACCTTTTGAAAAGTACCCAACATCACTTTAAGTTGTCATGGTTATATTACAAATCGAATGTCTTTAAACGAACTTGTATATAAACGTCTATGTATATTGGCTTCATCTCAGAAATGAGTAACGGTTTGGATCAAGTTTTGCATTTAAATAGGGTTCAAAGGCATTAGCGAAGTCCTGTCGCCCAAGTCAAGCCGTCATTGAGGCATTGACCTTAAACTCTATACGCCAGAGATACTAGCTAGAGACGATCGCAATCAATGCATCAGTCACTATGGACATTGTTGTTGTGTCAATCATGTCCTGAACTCAGAATCATGTTCACTTGACGACCTGTATCTAGCAAGGCCAAACGCCATTAACGTCGAGCACTGGGCAAAAACCAACTAATGTATTCCCATCTACACGAAAAGAAGAAGACTATGGACAGTAGAACGCTCAAATATCTTTGCAAATACGATGCAATTTTGGAATAAAATATTTGTGGGTGGTTATAAAATGGTTCGTGGTGTGTATTTTGTGTCATAAAATTATAGGTATACTAAAATATAGCTTAATTTATTTTCTGTATGTATGAGGTCGGGAAATAGTGTATCAGCACGCGACGTAAACGTTGCAGACACATTTCACAATCTTTGACATTTCGACCTTGACCTTCGGTAATTTCAAATTCAAGTGAAATTTCAAATTCAATTGTATTGTATAAAATAAAAAGTTATTGTTTTGTTTGATTTGAGTTAGATTGGGCAGATCTTGTCGTTTGAAAATGGGTGGTGAAAACAGAATCAAAGAATAGCTATACAGGTTTGAAAGAACAATCAAAGTATAAAAAACCTTAACTATTCTGTACCAAGCTATTAATTTACTAAGTATTTAGTAGAAATATTTATATACATATTACATAATGAAGTCTCCTGGCCGAGTCTGTCAGTCTGTATAAACGCGATAAACTCAAAAACTACCCACCGGATTTTTGTATGGTTTTCACCACTAGATAGTGTGTTTCCTTAGAAAGGTTTAGTTGTATAATTTATTATGGTTTTATGTATATTGACTGAAACGACGATTATTGTTGAAGAGGTCGCAAAAAATCTTATGCTAGATAAACCCTGCGATAAAAGGATCACGGTTACCGAAATCCACGCGGCAGAAGTTAGTTTACTTCCTTTTTTTTATTTGTTTGTTTTTTTTACCTTAGAACTCCGCCATTTAAGAATCGACTTTTTTATTTGATAGGGTTATACTTCCTGTTTAGTACCATTAAAATTGGAAGAAAAATCCACCCCTAAAGGTGAATACAGAGGTGAATAAAGAATAGTCTTACAATTTTTACTGATGTAAGGGCATTGAAGTTAGTGATAACTTTTTGTTTAAAGTTTATTTTTTTATTTTTTTACTAAGGAAATACTATAAAATTCTCGTCGAGACCCCATTTATTTCCGCCTAGTGCCAACTGTGATTTCTTTATATAATTTGTGCGTCATATAACGTAACCACAAGTTATGCCACATTCAAGTATAAATAACCGCAAGTTACGTAGTTATAATGTCGGAAGTTCATACAAGTATTATTGATTTTAGTTCAACCACGTTCCAGGCCACGGAACATACATATCTTACGTGTGCTTCGAGGTAGGCAACACATTAAAGAAAAATGTTTAAATAGGGCTTTTTCAGAGGGCCTATCACAACGCCGAACGCCGTGACGATAGTTGATGTGAAATAAACTCACACTAGGTCCTCTGGATTATAATGGGCAAATGTATCTTTATCAGCAGTCTTGTTATTTTGAGATCAGACGTGTGTGAGGTTATTACAGACTAGCTGACCCGCGCAACTTCGTCTGCGTCTCTCAATAGTAATAAATTTTCTCCGTTTTTGAAACATTCTTCATTGGTGCTCCGCTCCTATTGGTCTTAGCGTGATGATATATAGCCTATAGCCTTCCTCGATAAATGGGCTATCTAACGCTGAAAGAATTTTTCAAATCGGACCAGTAGTTCCTGAGATTAGCGCGTTCAAACAAACAAACAAACTCTTCAGCTTTATGATATTAATACCGATACCTAATTTTGGGTAATTTGTGAATTGGACCACTTCCGCACAACACGGTGTATTTATAAACTGGATGAGAAATGATAAGTATACGACGAAGAATGAAGCAGAATGCTGTTCTGGTTATAACCGTGCGTGAAAAAAGTCTTGTTACACATTTTTCGGTCTCGCTCCCATCCGCTCAGAGCGGGTAACGCGCGATATGGAACTTCCTTCCAATAAGATAACTAATTTCGTTACCATCCATAGGTAACTTGTTGACAGCAATGACAACTCATTTGTGACAGCCAGCTGTCAAAGGTATGAACTCCAGTACAGCTTATTATGTAAACTTTAAAATTAAATAACTTTTGAACGCAAAGTTCTAAAAATCTCGTAATTAAAACTGTAATTGTTAATGATATTATATTAGATAAAGGCTGGCGGTGAGGCGTAAACAAAGGACGGGCTACTGTGCAACTTCGCGGCACTCGCAATATCAATGGACGCCCCTTATCATATTCCATAAAGATATTAACAGCACGCCCTCCATATAATCGATAATAGACAAGAACGAGATTATAGCTGCATTACTATGTCTTCGAAAACGGTCTTGGGTTTTACAACTGTACAGTATTAGAGCCCAAGCTGACAGTCCTAACGCACGTTCATTGCTTTAACCCTCCCACATTTAAAAGTGTATTTTTTTTAAATTTTGAATGCCATCTTTAAAACTCAGTGAAACTATTTAGGGCCAGGATTAAAGCAATGAAACTAACCATTTCTATTTTTAAAAATATTTTAATTTAAAAAAACGAGGGGTAACACTCTGGGACAGTACTAATTTATATTTAATAAATTTAAAGAGAATTAATCCCACAATTGACAGTTAATATTGTCTTGTAAAGCTTAGAGTATAACCACGTTTAAATAAATAGTTAATATCACAAATGTTAGATTTTACAAAAAAATGCATATTCAACAAGTACATTGTAATTTAATATTTCATACCAATGAAACATATTATTTATATGTATAGGCAATAATTTGAAGACTTTTTAAAACTGAGGTAATAGGTACTCTCTAAAATTAAATTCTATTAAAATAAATATCCTGGTGAAGCGAGTATCTGAGTAGACTAGCGAAAGATTTTTTGTTTAAAAACAAAAAGCCGTTTAGTTTTAAAAAACATTTGTAAATGTCATTTTAAAAAGCCTTCATCGCATTAACACTCCGTATTAAAATAAAAGTAAATATCACACAGACGATATAATATAGGTATGTTAAACTTCTTTTAAAACGAACAAAATTAGTATTTAACGAAATATAAAGTAAATTACTGTTTTTTGTAATATAAGACCTATTTTTAGCCTTTGATGGATTCACCATGCGGATGCCGGGTCCATCGCGTGGTAGATGGGGGCAACACATGCGGCTTCGGAAGTACTCCGTGCGAAGCGTCGGCGCTCACCTCCACTGTC